AGGAACCAGTATATACAACCAAGTAAATAAACAGGGTTTAAAATAATTGGACTCTTGGGGCCCATCTTGCCTTTGTTCAAGGAACTCTGGGCTGAGAGCTGAGATTCTCTAACCATATGCCTCAGAGCTAGCCTTCTTTGATGATACAAATGACCTAAGTCATTGTTGATCAATTATGTTCCTAAAGACCCTGAGCCAGTCCTGTTTCTTCAGTTGTCAACAACCAACTCTAATTAGCTCAAGCATAAGTGAAGATTTTATTTTATTTTTTTAAAGATTTATTTTATTTATTTATGCACACAAGAACTGGGGTAGAGGCCAGAGGTGTGGGCGGGGGGAGAGCATTCACCAGAGACAGAGTGGGGAACAGAACAGGCAAATCCACTGACATACACTTCTGAGGGGAACAGCGGGTGAGACAGGAGAGGTCTGCAATGCCATGTGAGTAGCTCCTGGCTGGGGATCGAACTCATGCTGCAGTGGCTGTGGACAGCTTCATAATTTGCATCTTAACCTACCCTTGAGCCACCAGGGAGGCTCCTTATTTTATTTTTTTTAAGACTTATTTTATTTATGCATCCAAGAACTGAGGTATAGGCCAGAGGGGTGCGTGTGTGTGGTGGGGGAGAGGATTCACCAGAGACAGAGTGGGGAACAGAACAGGCAGATCTACTGAAATACACTGCTGAGGGGAGCAGTGGGTGAGACAGGAGAAGTCTGCTGGCCGGGGATGGAACTGTGCGGCAGTGGCTGCCAATGCTTCATTGGGCTGAGACTTAACCCCATGCGCCACCAAGGAGGCCCAAGATGATTTTAAAGGATAACTGGGATGTGACAGACTCTCTGGGAAGGCAAAAGAGGTTTGAAGAGAAGGCGCAGCCGCCCACACAGCAGGACTGTGCCAACAAAGACCCCTACCGTATGTGCATACGTGTGTGTATACATGTGACCCTGGGCCAGGAGTCAGTTATCAGCCTTCTGAAACCAGACACTTCTGGGCCTCCCTGGTGGCGCAGCGGTTGAGCGCTGGGTTGCGAAGCTGCCGGCAGCCTCTGCACCGTTGGTTCGATCCCCGGCTGCTCCCCGGCCACCAGAGGAGGGTCCCACATGGTGCGCAGACCTCTCCTGCCGCCCGCTGCTCCCCTCAGCAGTGTACTTCGGTCCTTCTGCCTGCTCTGCTCCCCGCTCTGGCTCTGTCTCTGGTGAATTCTCTCACCCTCCCACACTTCTGACTATATCCAGTGCTTGTATAAATAAATAAATAAATCTTTAAAAAAAATAAAATAAATAAAATAAAATCAGACACTTCTATTGCCACCTGCCCCAGGAAAACAAGATTGCATGCAGACCTACTAGCTTCCCTATTTTCCCAAGTCGAGGTCCACACAGTCCGCTTGGTACAACTCTAGTCATAGGATGCAGCAGAGCTCAAAGGGAGGCTGGAAATGTAAGTTCTGGCTTCCTCCTCTAGGAGGCGAAACTCACAATGTGCAAATCCCCAAATAGAAGTACAGGCAGCCTGAAAGCATGACAAATGTCCCCAAAGCACCTTCGATTAATTAACTACAGACACAGGTCTCGAAAGATCAAACCATTCTCAGCTCTGATTACCATGCCTTCTGGTCCTGAGTGCTTCCCAGAATCCTCTCTTCTCTGCTGAGATCATAGAGTCCATTTAATGGCTTAGAGAGAGCCTATTAAATATTCTAGTGTTTTCATGAAACCCTGGAGAAGATATGTGAGTTTTCAGGTACTTCTCAAAGGACAGAGTTGAGAGAGGGTATGTGGCAGTAGCAGGAGCTTTGAATTCCTTTTTTAAAATATATATTAATTTTTTTATTTTTTTACGCCATTGTTTATTTTTAGACAATATTTGCTTCCCCCCCCACCCCCTCAGGTGTAGCCCCCATAGAGTTTCCTTTCCCAATGCACCTGTGCACCATCACCTCAGTCCCCTGTGCTCCTCCCTCCCTCCCTCTGATCCCTCTCCCTCCTCCTCCCCTGCAGGATGTCTCTGGTTTATAATTGTCCGTTTTTGCTTTGTTGTGTTTTGTACTGTTATTATTTTTTTACACTGATGTCTTATTTGGTTCCCCTATATTCCTGCTATAAGTGAAACCATTGATATTTTTCTTTTTCCTTCTGGCTTATTTCACTGAGCATAATTCCTTCTAGCTCCATCCATGTTGCTACGAATGGCATGAGTTTATCTTTTTTGATTGCTGAATAATATTCCATTGTGTATATATATACCACAACTTCTTGATCCTGAATTCCTTTTTTGTTATCCCGTCAGAGAATGAATGTATGGTTTCTTATTGTTCTTTAATGTGAGCCAGAGAGAATCCAACAAACGATCAGAAACACAGAACTGTGAGCAATAGCACAATCATCACATCATCTCTGATAAGAATGCAGTGAACCCAAATCTCCTACCTTGACCTCAGTATCCCCAAACCATGCTGTGCTCCTGGTGTGGGAGCACAACCAGCTCTAAGACCGTATTTTCACATGCCTGCTAAGTGGAGGACACAGTTGACATCAGGCAGCACCCCACGGCCCCGGTGACCCCCAAGGATTGACTCTGGACCTCCCACCCCCTTGACTGAGCAGGCTAACTTCAGATGTTTCATCACTTTCACAGTAATGCCACCCCACCTTGATGGACTCTTTGGGATGCCATTATCAACCTACAGTGTTAATGTTTTTTTTTTTAAAGATTTATTTTTATTTATGCATATAAGAATGGGGTGCAGGTCAGAGGTGTGGGGGTGAGAGAATTCACCAGAGACTGAATGGGGAGCAGAACAGGCAGACTGACTGAAATACAGTGCTGAGGGGAGCAGTGGGCGAGCCAGGAGAGGTCTGCTGCACCATGTGGGTAGCTCCCTGGCCGGGGATGGAACTTGTGCTGCAGTGACTGCGGATAACTTGATAGTGCTGAAACTTTAACCACTGCACCACCAGGGAGGCTTCCTACAGTGATAATGTTCGTAAGCAGCCCATTCAATGCACTTTTGAGGGTCCTTCTGGTAACAATTGGGTACAAGCTTGTGATTATATTTCATTACAACCTCTAATGAAGTTATGCATGCACATTTACGTATTAGAATATTTTTTTATTACAGTTTCCTCCCCCCCCTTTTATGTTACAGTTGGGGCAGTCTACCATCTTTTTTTTTTTTTAATGAAGTATCATTGTTTTACATCCTTGTTAATGTTTTTTTTAAAGATTTATTTATTTATTTATACAGGAACTGGGGTACAGGCCAGATGCGCAGGAGGGTGAGAGGATTCACCAAAGACAGAGCAGGGAGCAGAACAGGCAGAAGGACAGAACTACACTGCTGAGGGAAGCAGTGGGCGAGACAGGAGAGGTCTGCCGCACCATATGGAATCCTCGCCAGCTGGCCAGGATCGAACCCGCGCTGCAGAGGCTGTGGACAGCTTCACAGCGCTGGGCTCAACCGCCTGTGCCACCAGGGGAGGCCCAGTCTATCATCTTTTAAAGTAGATTATAATCGCTATGAATTTTGTTGCAGAATGGTAAAAAGGAGTGTTCCCAAAAAATGTGTCATAAAAGGGGCTCGGCTCTGGCAGTGCTGAGGCCGCTGTCTTGGGGTGATGACCGTGTCCTCTGACGCTGCCCTGCTGATTTGGTTGATACTTGAATAGGCATCAGTTTTGCAGCCGTCTTTGCTATATCCACTTTCTTCTGCTCCAGTAACTGGGTGGTCCCCAGGGAGAGGGGAGGTTCCTGGCTCCCTGCCCCACCCAAGGAAGGGTGGAGCTGAGCAGGGAGGAGGAAAGGCTGGGGAGAAGACTGGAAGGAGAACAGAGAACATGGAGACCGGCCAGAGGCACATGGACCAGAGACCTGTGAAGCAGCTGTGCTGGCTTCTTGGCCTCATACAGGTACCAAGGACTTGGGGGACATCAAGAGACATTTGAAACAGATGTGGGTAAGAGTCCCGTGGGGAGGTTAACAATGGCAACCTTTCTCTTGATTTTTATTTTGCTCTTTTCCTTCGAGACTCACCTGACCCCTTCTGCCCCTGTCCTGTGGGTGCCCACCAGGAGGTACCTGAGACTGTGGCAGGCTTTCAGCCTCCAGCCGGCCCGCTTTTGGCCCCCTTGTCTGGATGGGTCACTTTGGGTGTTTTATTTGAAAACTGTTTTATCTATTCTTTCCCTTCTCTTCTCTTAATTGCACACTAATTGTATTAAAGTTCTTTTCCGTTAAAGGTCTTACAACTAGAGTTTTCCTGCCTCTTCTGAGACAGGAAAATTTTTTTACTATTGTTTCCCCTGACTGCTCAATCCTTAGGCTGCCACTCTCCAACTTGGGGGAGGGGAGGTGGGTCATTGTGACAACACACGCAATTACATTAAGTAGCTTTCTTTCTCTTTTTCTTTCTCTTTCTCGGGACCTACCCAGAGTTTCTGTTCTCTCTGTTCTTTGACTGCCACTTAAACCCCTTTTCTTACATTTTTACTATTTTTATTTCAAAGATTTTTTTTATTTATGCATACAAGAACAGGGGTGCAAGCCAGAGGTGCGGGAGTGGGGGTGAGGGGTAAGAGGATTCACCAGAGACCGAGTGGGGAGCAGAACAGGTGGATCTACTGAAATACACTGATGAGGGGAGCAGCGGGGGGTGAGACAGGAGAGGTCTGCTGTGCCCTATGGGTCAGCTCCCTGGCCAGCAACTCCTGCTATAGTGGCTGTCAACAGCTTGATAGTGCTGTCTTTAACCCCTGCACCACCAGGAGGCCCCAGATATCCTTCATTCTTAAGTAACAAATAAAACAGTTCCCCAGTTCTAGGTGGTTAATGGTCACCCAGATAAAAACTGTATTTCCCAGCTGCCCTTACACTGGGTGTGTCCATGTGACTGAATTCCAACCAATGGGATGTGAGCAAAAGTGATTATGCCGTCATGCCCTGAAAAGAAATGAATATGCAATCTTCTTCCCTTTTCTCCTTTCTCGCTGAACAGTTTACAGACATGATGGCAGGAGCTGCAGCAACCACCTTAGAACCCAGAGATGGAAGCCATGTGAGGAGAATGGCAGTACCAGCTTAGGACTCCCTACTTTTGGATTACTGTGTAAGAGACCAGCAGAATTCTATTTTGTTTGTCACTATATTTATATTATATTTATAATACCACCGTAGGTAATGCAGCTACCTTTACCAGAAGCCTGTACTTTCTCATAGTTAGTACTTAATTTATGTTCACCTTTTTTTAAGATTTATTTTTATTTATTTATGCATACAAGAACTGGGGTATAGACCAGAAGTGCAGGGGGTGAGAGGATTCACCAGAGACAGAGTGGGGAGCAGAACAGGCAGATCGACTGAAATACACTGCTGAGGGGAGCAGCAGGTGAGACAGGAGAGGTCTGCTGTGCCATGTGGGTAGCTCCCTGTCTGGGAATGGAACTCATGCTGCAGTGGCCGATGATAGCTTGTTAGTGCTGAGGTTTAACCACTGCACCACCAGGGAGGCTACTTATTTATATTCTTTTATTTCAATTTTCATTTTCCATCTTCCTTTTTTAAAAAGTAAACTGTGAGTTAATGGTTCACCTGGCTTTTCTTTATCAAAGAACCAGCTTATACATTTATAATTCTAGTGTGCTTAGAGTTTTATAATTTTTTGGCCACCTTTACACCTGAATGAATTTCTAGCCATTTATGGAATTATTGGGTCACATCCTTTCCTCCTCTGCATTCTCTCCTCATTGTTCCGGTGTCTTATGCCATGGAAAATTGCTGAAAAGGAGTCTGCGGCCAGTCTCGTTTGAGTTCCCTGGATTAACTGTCTGCTTCTTCCATCCGAATGTTTGTAATAGGATGCTTTTGGTATCCCTAAGATTCAAGAACTTCAGTGTCTAAATTGCGATTTAAGTCTCAGTGGTTTCTGTCTCAATTTCCTGCCATCTTGGGTTTTTCTGTTTCAGAAATATATTTTTTTATGTTTTGTCTATTTTTTTTCAATTGCATTTGTTGTCCCCTTATCAGGGACTCAGACTGTAGGTTGAATCAATATAAAGGTCTTGCATATCTATCATTTTTTTCTCCAGTCAATTCCTCTTGTTCTTTCTTTTCATATTCTGTGTGATCCACCCATGTTTATTGTCATTGTCCCTGACCCAGTTTTCTGTTATGGCAGTTCTACTTCTTTTTTTTTTTTTTTAAAGATTTATTTATTTATGCATACAAGAGCTGGGCACAGGCCAGATATGTAGGGTGGGGGGGCAGTGAGAGGATCCACCAGAGACAGAGTGGGGAGCAGAACAGGCAGACTGACTGAAATACACTGCTGAGGGGAGCAGTGGGTGAGACTCCTGTGAGGTCGGCTGTGCCATGTGGGTCACCTCCCTGGCTGGGGATCGAACTCATGCTGCAGAGGCTGTGGATTGCTTCATAGTGCGGTGCTTAACCCCTTGCACCACCATGGAGGCCCAGTTCTACTTCTTTTGGCTTCTGAAGCGCCAGTGACTTTCAGATAGTTCGTGGCTTTTGCTTCTATTTCTTTCCCTACATCTTCCAGTTCTCCTTCCATTTTATTTTGGTTGTCCAATTTTGTTTGTTTCATAAGACTGTATATTTGTATTTAATTTCCCTGAAAATGCAAAAGATTTTTTTCAAAAACTTAATTTTATTTTTTGGGATTGTATTTCCCCCCTGAAAAATATATTTTCCTACTGACGTACTTTGGAAAAGGTGAGTTGTAGCTTACATAGATCCCATGGGAGCTCTTTACTAAGAGATAGTGATGATTTGAATTTTTAAAAATACATACCTGAATTCATAAACCCTTTAGGTCAACCTTCTGTTTCACAGGAAATATAGTAGCTAGAGAATCAAGCTAAGTACCAAGAAATAACCAGAGAAATCCAGAAAGTGGGACATTCTGTAGGACAACCGAATTACTTCGACTAGTAAGTGTCCTAAAACAGGGACTGTGCTAGATTAAGATGAATGTAAGGGGAATGTGGTCCCGGATTGGATACTGATTTGGATATGCCAGCTGTAAAATTAATTGGAGATAATTGGAGACATTTTAACATGGTCTGGAAATTAGATTAGATGAGATGACAGTGTACTACAACACAAATTTAGAGTGTTGACTAAAACAAGTTATAAAAAGGTTATAAACAATTGTAGAGTATGAGCTCAATGATACACTCAGGAGCTGTTACAATATTTTCTGGGAGATAGGAAGATGCTGTCTTTTAAGTTTGTATTTTCAAATGTTCTATAGGCACATATACTGCTGCTTATGTAATAGTCATATATATAGGGTTTGAATGGGACACATTTACCATGAATTATATTTTTGTGGGCTTTTTAATTTTAGCTTTCATGTTACAGTATTTTTTGATGTAGTAATATATACCTAACAACATCAATCATTTGAATGCTTAAGTGTACAGTTCAGTGGTATTATGGACATTCATATTACTGTGTAACTAACCATCATCACTATCCACTTCCAGGATGCTGTCATCTTCCCAAACTAACACTCTGTACCCACAAAGTGGTAACTATTTCCCCCTCCTTCCAATCTTCTTATTTTTTTTTTTAAGATTTTTAAAAAATTTATTTATGCATACAACAACTGGGGTCTAGGCCAGAGGTGCAGGGGGTGAGAGGATTCACCAGAGACATAGTGTGGAACACAACAGGCAGACTGACTGAAATACACTGCTGAGGGGAGCAGTGGGGCAAGACAGGGGAGGTCTGTTGTGTCATGTGTGTCAGCTCCCTGGCTGGGGATTGAACTCATGCCACTGTGGCTGACGATAGCTGAGACTCCCCTGCGCCACCAGGGAGGCCCTCCAGTCTTTTTATTTTTAAGAGTCACCAAAACTGTATAAATGTTAAGCCCCACAAAACCTGGCTCCAGCCCCAGCTGACAACCAGATATCCTGGTCACTCATGAGCAAGCTTTAAAGTGGTATGTGACACTGCCCAAATGACTTTATCCTTGAACCAAAGAACAGTCAACATAGTTGAGGGGATCATGACCACAGTGCTCATCACCAGATGTGCAAAAGGCAATGATGGCAGCAACATCACCACCGGCTGCACAGGAAGACAAAAGCAATGGGTTTCTGTTCCCGGAATATAAATATATACAACTTTCCCCAGTAATTATATGTTTGTCATTCTTAGCATCCTAATTTCATGTAAATTAATTTTATTATTTTCTTCATTGCTTCAATTATTGATAAATTTACTATCATTTCCTGTAAAATCAGTCCAGAAAGATAGGAATTTTATGTAGTTGTATCAGCTTATTTTGAAGTCTGACTTGATATAACAGAAAACCCAAGTTTATTTATCTCAAACCTAAAGCTGGAGGTGCACAGTTCAGGACTAGTAAATAGTTCTATAATCATCAAGGGGCTGGAGCCCTTTCTCTGCCACGCTATCATCCTTAGCATGCCACTTCATGGCCCAGTGGGGCAGCTTATGCTCCAGCCATCATGTCTGTGTTTTAGCCAGAAGAAAAAAGCCAGAAACAAAAAAGCATGCCTCCTCCCTACAACAATTCCTTACAAAAATTGCACTAACACTTGAGTATCTCTTTGACCAGAACATAGTCATGTGACCTCACCTACTTGTAAGGAAGGTCAAGAAATGTAACCTTTATATTCTGTGTGCCCAGCTAAAAACCAGACATTTTATTAGTAAAAATATAGAGTGAATGGGTATTGGAATAGTCAACTAAAGGTCTGTCATAAGGTTTTTAAAAAGATTCATGTGCTGATTTTTGAGGTTGAGAGGCAGATAGGACAGGGTGAACCTCTTAAAGTACTGTTACTATTGCTTAGCATTTTTTGGCACTTTCTACACTGGCTGCTAAAGTCTTCCTCCATACACCACAGAAGGGAGTTCATAGACTTGTATGGAAAAGAGAAAAAGTCATCTTTCTGTGTTTTTTTTTTTATTATTTATTTATTTATGCATACAAGAACGGGGGCACAAGCCAGAGGTGCGGGGGGTGAGAGAATTCACAGAGACAGAGTAGGGAACAGAACAGGCAGACTGACTGAAATACAGTGCCGAGGGGAGCAGCAGGCAAGACAGGAGAGGCCTGCTGCGCCATGTGGGTAGCTCCCTGGCCCAGGATTGAACTCGTTCTGCAGTGACTGCAGATAGCTTTACAGTGCTGAAACTTAACCCCTTGCACCACCAGGGAGGTTGGATAAAGTCATCTTTCTATTTGAAGAGGATTTTTAACTATCTCTATGGTTCCATATCCACTGTAGAGCTAAGTCGCGGGGCTTTGCTATTGTGGGTTCATTTTAACTGTAAAAAGCATCATATCAGTATATGAATTGCCATTGTTTTGCACTGTTTGGTTCTGTTTCCAGGAAAATGTGAACCACAGGATGTGATTCCTGACCCCTTCTTTGGGGAATGTTACCAAGGAGAGCATTTTTCCCACATGGTAAACAAAAGAAAAGGAAGACTGTGAGTTCAGAAGTCGCTTCACTAACCAGGGAGCTGTTATAGATGCTTGTGCAGGGGCAGGATAAAATGGCCAGTTGAGGGAGCTGATAGATCAAACAAGGAAGCCTCATCACCTTTCAGCTTGCCTTGATAATGAAATACAAAATAAAATGCCACTCATGCATGTTGCTTAGACAGGCTGTCAAATTTCCTTTCTAAGCTGATCGCATTTGACCTTGATGGTTAATACATTCTTTAATTAATTCTGGAGTTTTATCCAAATTAGGATATGCCCTCTCCCTGGAATCAGCTTGAATTGTGGTCCCCTGCTTGGGTCTTTGCTCCTGATCTAGCCATCCCAGTTACCTTCTGCTGACTCAGGGATGAGAGCACTGAAATTCTCTGAGAGGGCCATGGCTTGTTGATCCAGTTTATTGGGGTTCCAGTCCTCCAAGCTGGCACCCTCACAAAGCCAGCCTCTGGGTGAGAAACTAATTCTATCGCTCCTTCAGTTTGACTTTCTAAGGGAAATAGACCCATGGAAGTAACCAGCCAGCCATAGCAGAGCACAGAGCAGGCACCTACAGCTGCAGCTCCTTCCATAAGCAGAAAAGGCTACTGCAGATAAATTAGGGTGCGTGGGAGCCACATCACAGAAAGCTGGGGAAGGCTGGGTTTTAAATAGCCACCAGCCCTTAAAGCTGGCGGGCTGTGTTCTAAGGGAGGGTGGAAAGGGAGTATTCACCTATTAGCAGCAACAGCAACTTCCCATTGGCTTTTCTTCCTTGCTGCTTGCCTGGCTTACCACTTCCTCAGAAAGTTGCTGGGGTGGGGGGTCATTAGAGTGGGGAGCAATGTCTGGGGACCCTGCAAAGGGCCAGGGCCAGGGAGTGCCGGGGCATAGGAAGTCACAGCAGCATTATAGAAGGAAGGATTTACTCCTCTGCATTTCCCTTTTCTGCAGGCCTGCTGGGTTTTCATGATGTCATCCATTCATCATTGTGAGCTGATGGGTGGTCTCAGGCTTGGCCAGCTGCCCAAGGCCGGGAAGGAAGAGCGAGACCCCAGGACAAAACTGCAGCAGGCCCCTGAGCATGTGCGGAAATGTTGCCATCAGCTCCACATAGAAAGACTTGGTGGAAATTGAAGAAGACAGTAAAAGTCACACAGTCCTTTCCAATCGTCCCTTCCCTGGATGCCTGGGAAGAATTCAGGGGCCTCTTTCCTGTGGATGGGGAGCCAAACCCTGGAGTGGGCCTGGGTGTGGAGGAGGGACTACTCTGCCAGATGGTTCATTCTCCAGAATTCAACCTGTTTCCTGACTCAGTGGTGTTTGAAAGCAACTTTGTCCAGGTTTGAAAGCAATTTACTCTTGGGTGGCTCAATATGACACTCCTTAATTCTTCTAGCCATGTTCCCCAGAAAGAGCCAGGAGACTCGTCCCTGGCACCTGAGTGGAGTGAGGACTGGACAGGCACACCTCAGCAGGCCTGCAATGCATGGCTCCCTCTGGCTCTCCTTGGCTCTGCAGAGCCCCAGGCAGGGCTTCGTCCCAGACAGTTGTCACCCTGAGGAGAGGAGTCAGGAGGAGCTTAGCATCTGAATTCCAGTTTATTCCATCCTCCAGGCTCTCAGCCCAAAGAAGACACAAAGCAAGGCAATGAAGTGAGATGCCCTTTGGTGGTTAGGACAAGAAATACTGAATGGAACTGGTTATCCAGAGAAATGGGGGCTCAGATGCAGTTCTCAGCTTTCTCATCGGGGGCCCCCTTGTATCCCAGTGACCTGGACGTTTCCTCTGTTGTCCAAGGGTTGGGCTGACCTGAGAGTTACATGCAAACACCCTTAGAGGATGCGAAGGCCTTACTCCAAGGACACTCAATGCATTTTGCTGCCCTGCCTGGGCTCGCCTTGGGACCCAGAATAAGCAGCACTTGGACCTTACAGTTCAGGTAATAGGACCAGAGGTAATAGGACCCCCAAAGCAGAGCCAAAGCACATGCATTTCAAAGAAAAGCCAGGAAGCAGTCTGGGGAGGATTCCCAGAAACGCAATGTTGCAGGAAACCCCTGGGTTAAAGTTGCTGTAGGGAACTCCCAACATTAGGTAATATAGACACTATTAATTGTTTAATCGATAAAGGTTAAAACTGCCTTTCTCTACAAGCAACCGTTTTGCTTCTCCCAAACCAGGGGAGATTGGGCAAATGTCTGAGACATTTTGGGTTGTCACAAGTTGGGGTAAAGAGGCTACAAAATATCCTACAGTGCTCTGGTGAGCCCCTCCCCCAAACAAAGAATTATCCAGCCCAAAGTGGGAATAAAGCTGAGGTTGAAAAACTCTTGATTAAAACATACTGCTGTTTTTGTCAAACACTGAGACTATGCCCTTGGGGATGCTTTGCAGGTCAAAAAGAGCAGGAACTGGATAGACATCTACAAAGCCTCCAACACCATAGCCCTCGGGGTGACCTCCTCTGTGCCCTGCCTGCCCCTTCCCAACGTCCTCCTCATGGCCAGCGTCAAATGGCACCAAGGGCAGAGCCAGACATGGAACAGACCACCTACAGCCCCAATCATCATCCTGAAGAGGTAACCAGCACGGAGGGCAACAGAGGACAGGAGGGGCGATGGGTTCACCTAAAGCAGAGACTAGTTTGTGACTGAACTCATGGCGGGGAGCAAGAGCTGTCATTGGTGTGCACGTTAATATTTTTAGTCTTTAATAATACAAGACTGTTCACTGGAAGCATCGAGATCAAGTGGAGGGACCAATGGAGGCATGAGGTGGATAAGTTCACTTTCCTTTTCACAGCACCCACCCCACTGAATTCTGAGGAAATCTTTCCACCTTTGACTGAGGTACAGGAAAGCCAGGGGATTTGGCAGATGAAACACCAGTTGAGAAAGTCTTTGGTATCCAACTAACTAGACTCAAATAATATTTGAGTCCTAAGTTTCTTGTCACCCCTCAGTTTTCCTATTAATGAATGGAACTAAGTCTCACTCAGCACTTAACATACAGTGATAACATGCTTGCCTGAGATGAAACAGACTTTTTTTGATGTTTGAACCTCTTCAAATCATCTGTAGGATATCCAAGAATCTCTAGATATTCCCAGAAATCCAGGAAAACCCTTCATTTATCCATGTTGCCTCTGAGGTGAACCTCTCCATTATGTTCTGGGTGGGCCCATAAGCAAGTGTAGCCCAGTCTTAGCTCCCAAAGCCAGCTCCTTGAACTTCAGCTCCTTTGGAAAGAGTACCAGAAGCATAGAGGTCAATGACTGGAGAAGCTGATGGTGGGACCAACTCTGGCCGAGGAAGGCAAGTCCCCATGACCCCAGTTACCTTACCTGGGGGCTGTCTCTAAAGCAGGGTCTGGGGAACATGTGAGTGAAAATTGTGGCAGGGTAGGTGGAGGTTAAAATCCAGATTCCAGGAACACACCCCAGACCTTCTGAATCTGAGTTTGGGGGGTGTCTGCAAGTATCTGCACTTTTTTTTTCCTTTTTTTAAAAGATTGATTTATTTATGCATACGAGAGCTAGGGCACAGGCCAGAGATGTGGGGGGTGAGAGTATTCACCAGAGACAGAATGGGTAACAGAACAGGCAGATCTACTGAAATACACTGCTGAGGGGAGCAGGAGGCGGGACAGGAGAGGTCTGCTGTGCCAGGTGGGTTGCTCCCTGGCCAGCCATGGATTGAACTTGTGCTGCAGTGGCTGAGAATTGCTTCATAGTGCGATGCTTAACCCCTTGCGCCACCAGGGAGGCCTGTATCTGCACTTTTAACAAGTTCCCAGGTGAATCTGATAGCACAATTTGAGTACTGCTGTGCTAAGCAGACCCTCTCCTAAGCCCCAAAGCCTTAGTCCTGAAGGAGACACTCCTCGTTTTAGTGAAGATGGGGTCAGATGAGAAGCAAGAGAGTAGTAACGTGTGTCTTCCCTCGGGTCTTCAGAATCCTCCCGTTGAAGTTTGTGGAGCTCCAGGTCTGCGACCACCCTCAGCGCATCCTGCGGTTGAGGACAGTCACGGAGAAGATCTACTACCTGAGGCTCCACCCTGACCACCCAGACACCGTTTTCCACTTCTGGATCCGACTGGTTCAAATTCTGCAACAGGGCCTGTCCATCACCACCAAAGACCCCAGGATCCTCATCACTCACTGTCTGGTACCCAAGAACAGCAGCAACTCCTTGGAAGACTCTAAGGTAAATGGGTACCACAGGGCTTCCAGCCAAGGCCAGTGCAGGCCACATCGCTTAGCTGAATTGGTATGTGTGCACCTTGTGAGGGCGATCCCTTCCTTGAGCCTTTGCGTTTAGCTTTATGGAGGTGTAGGCTACAACCACAGACTCACCCGGGTGACTGCTCAGTGCAACACTTACAGTAAATGAAGAGAGTTTTACAGTTTTGTTTGTTTGTTGTCTTTTAATGTGTCTTTTTGTGGTTAGATTTCTTTGAATATTTTATTGAGATTTTCATATTTGGTTTTTCAGTCCCTCAGAAAATACCTAATCAAATTAAAATAATCTTTGGGGGCTTTATTAATTTACCTTAAATCTTCTCAGCTATCTCTGTGATACTGTGAAATTAAAAAATGCACGTTTTGGTTCAGCTTCTGCATTTTAAAATGTCTCATAATCTTTAGGGTTGCTCTCTTTTAAAGAGAGAGTCTTGAGGTTTTAGAACATTTCACCTAAAACCCCCCCGGTACCCAATTGAAGTTGTTTCTTGTTCCTATTTCCTGCCCAAGATAACCGTGGATGGGTTTTCAGTCACTTATATATTCATTTTCTTAGACATTTCATGTAAATAGAATCCTATAATCTATTGTGTCTGACTTCTATCACTTAGTATATTCAGTCTTCCATTAATTTTCACAAAACTAACTATAGGGCTTTTGTAGATGCCCTTTATCAAGTTGAGAAAGTTCATTTTCAGTCATAGTTTAATGAGCTTTTATCACCAATAAGTATTGGACTTTATCAAATGCTTTTCTGCATCTAATGAGATGACCTTGTGACTTGTCCTTTACTCTCTTAGTATAATGACTTGCACTGAATGAGTTTTAGATGTTAAACCAATCTTGTATTCTTGCAAGAAATCCTATTGTCATGGTCTCTGAAATCCTATTACTGGATTTGGTTGGTAGCATTTTGTTTAAGGATATTTACATCTTTGTTCACTAGGGATTTTGGCCCGTAGTTTTCTTTGATATCTTTGTGATCTCCTGACTACGAAATCAGTAATAAAAGCCTTGTTAGATGATTTCAGAAGTATTCCCTACTCTATTTTCTCAGCTGGTAAAGAAGTGATACAATTACTTCTTTAAATTTTTGATAGATTTTACCAGTGAAGTCAGTTGGGTCTTTCCCCCCTAAGCTTTAGAATGTGATGAAAGTTAAGACTGACTTGAGCTACAACATAAAACCAGTAAGGGCAAGGATTTTTATCTGTCTTCTTCACTGCTATATTCCCAGTGCCTGGCACATATTGACATTCAATAAATATTCAATGAGTGAATGAATAAGTATGAGCAGCCTGTACAATGGGAACACCCTTGAGGTATCATGGGCAATAGGAAAAAAGCAATTTTACCCAAGTATAAAAAAAATGCAATATAAAATTTTTCTTAGAGAATTCAATTTTTTAAGCGTTCATTAAATTTCAGCAATAAATATTTGATCCCTCTACATCTAAATATAAAACCAAGCAGCATAACCCATATTAAAGTTCATATTAATAGGTTCTTCAATAACATATTAAGATATATTAATAAGAATAGGATTTCTATTAAATGATGTCTACAGTATTTAATGGCATGTTATCCTCAGGACACCAAAGGATGTTTGACAACAATACACAGTTTATAAACAAACAGATTTGGTATCTGACTGCCACTGGAGCAGCTGGCATGGCAGCCCAATGGAATAGCTTGAATTCCAGCTCTATAAGGTCTGGGCCATAGTGTTAGGAAAATGCAGAAATCTTACTGCCTTAATCACCTGGTTTTGTTTATTTTTCTCCAACTAGTCAGTACAGAAGAAACTTCCAGTCTCCCAGCCCAGCGAGAGCCTTATGCAGCTCATGGCCAAAGGGGAGAGTGAGGCACTCTCTCAGATTTTTGCCGATTTGCACCAGCAAGACCAGTTCAGGTACATGATTTAAATCAGGCCAGGCTGACATCCTTTCCTGCAGCCCAGACAGTCAGGCCATGAAATCCAGGGGCCAAGGTCCTTGCTCAATAAGCACAGCAAGGGCCTAAAATACTGGCCCTCAGTCTCTCTCCTTGACTCAAGGCAGCTTCTCCCTGGTTCTCTTTGCTTCTTTCTCTTTCTCTACACTACAAGAATAGGAGGAGGCATTTTATTTAAAAAAAAAAGACACCCAAAAAACTGGAAAGTGATTCTCCCATTATAAGAATAAGCTAGTGATACAGGTGGGAAAGTAAAGCCAAATTTCTCATTCAGTTCCTACTCCTACAGAAAAATAATCAAAACATCATTTGAAACATTTTCTGTTTATTGGTTCATTTACCAACTCACCAGACTTCTACTTCTGTGGTTGTTTTCTGAATGGAGAGTCTGTTCTGGAAACACCATTGTTCAGGCCTATCTTCGTCATCCCTATCTGTGTGGATGACTTAGGGCTGAACCTGGAGGCTGGTTGGGGGAATAACAGGAGCTGAGAGCACTGAGACCTCATGGCACCATCCTCAGGGAGCAGAGAATAGGGACTGGGTCCTAGTGACCCACTTTGAAAGAAAAGGGAGGACAGAAATAAATTAATAAATGTCACCAGAAGAGAAAAACGAGATGTCAGAGAGAAGAAGGTGTTTGTTACAACAGGGACTGACAGTTTAGAGAGAGAACAGTGAAAAGAAAGGTTTCTGAGTGACAGTGGACCCAAAGCCAGTGTTGCTCAAAGGAGGTCTTCTCATGGGTGGTTAAAACTCACACAGACCCAGGTCCACGGCACTGCTCTGACTGTGAGCCTTTACACCATGTAGCTTTTCTGGGCCTCAGTTTTCAGATCTGTAAAATGGAAATTATGCTAGTACCAACCTCACTCAGGTATTGTCAGGATCCAGTGAACCAACACATGGAGTACTTAGCACATTCCTCAGCAGACTGAGAGGCAGCTATAAGTTTGCTCTCAATAAAGACTCATTTGTATTATTATCCCAAACTTGAACGTTTGCAAGTATTAGTGCAAGGGAAAAACTTGTTCACTGCCCTCGTTAAAGAATTTATGTGGGGTCATCTCGCTACAGTATACAGAGACTGCAATTAAGACACTTCTGGGCCAGATACCACACAGCTGAGCAGGAGAGTGTTGGACTTCATAGAGCAAAATCTTTTTATTGATTGATTGATTGAAGAAGAACTGGGATGTAGGCCAGAGGTATGGGGGTGGTGAGAGGATTCACCAGAGACATAGTAGGGAGCAGAACAGGCAGATCTACTAAAATACACTCCTGAGGGGAGCAGCGGGTGAGACAGGAGAGGTCTGCTGCACTGTGTGTGGGTTCACTCCTTGGCTGGGGATTGATTTTGTTGTTGTGTTTTGGGTTGTTTTTATTTTTTTACATAGAAGAACTGGGGTGTAGGCCAGAGGTGCAGGGGGTGAGAGGATTCACCAGAGACAGTGAGGGACAGAACAGTCAATCTACTAAAATACACTGCTGGGGGGAGCAGCAGGCAAGACAGGAGAGGTCTTCTGCACCATGTGGGCCACCTCCCTGGTAGGGGATCGAACTCAGTTCATAGAGGTGATAATGCTGAGACTTAACCCCTAGGCCACCAGGGAGGCCCTAGATCAAACTCTTTTCAAGCAACTTTTTGTCCTTCTCAAAATGTTAAATCACTTATTTCTTTTTATTATTGTTTGAAGGACAGTTTATGTTTATATTTATTGGATATAGTTCGGTCATGGGGCCACACCCACTTGCAAGGGAGGCTAGCCCCCTAGCTGTGTTTCCAACATAAAATTAGGTATTCTGCCCCTAAGAACAGAAGGGAAGGGAAGAAGGGACATTGGGGGCCCATTGGTAATCTCTGACACAGACAGCTTTTAATATTTCCAGCCAGAGAACACTAAGACCTGCAGGAGAAATCAACAATAGTCAGATAAAGAATAAAGGGTAGAGATTGGCTGTGCGGGTTGCGGGGGGGGGGGGGGGGGGGACACAAACAGGTCTAAGACTGAGGCTTCAACCTGGGGAGGGAGCTTGGTGAGTTTACACAAAGGAAAGAAAGGCAGTGGGGAGAAGAGGGGTTGGTGGTGGAAGGATTTACAGAGAAGCAGGCAGGGGCCCAGCCAGGCAGGGCCTGGGCTGCAGGCGAAGGAATGTAGACTTTGAGTGTAATGCGAGCCTTAGCAGCATTTTAAATAGGGAAGTGATGTGATCCAATTTACATTTTGAAAAGGTCGGGGCAGCTGGCTGTTGCTGTGACAGTGAAGATTTGAAGGGAGGGAGGATAGGTGTGGAGGAGCCAGCCAGGAAGCTATGGCAACCTCACCTGGACTGGCATGTTCAAAGGGGATCAGGCGGCTGCGAGAAAGAGGGGGACATCAATTCGTACTTCACTGTTATCTTAATAATTGCTTTGTGCCACCATTTCGTTTTCTTCTCTCTAATTCTACAGAATGGAGCCCTGAGTGATGATTTTGCTCTTCATACAGGCAGGTTCCAATCTGGTTGCAATTATATCAGTTTATGCACATTGGCAGCAACAGACATCTTAACAGCAAATAAAATAAATGGCCAACACACAGGACTGAGCAGATGGGGTGGCACCCACTCCTCCTAAGCAAAATTGCAGCCTGGGTTCTGCTCCCCACCAGCACCTCCCCACCCCATCTCCCCCTTCCTTATTTTTCTCCTGGTATTTTCATCTGCATCACACACACCTAATATAACCACAGCTGGCCTTTCCACATTTATATCTGCCCCTAAAGTTTTTGCATCATGAAAAAAATAACTAGAAACAAGATTTGCAATGAGAGTTTCATGCTCTATTCTTTTCCTTTTGACCTTCATTCCCTTGATCCTGAAATGGCTGGAGTTCCAGGAGCAGCAAAAAGACAGAGATCAAAAAGGACAGCTCAGGTAAAGGAGGGCACAGGGCCCGGGTGTGTCAGGGAACTGTCTGTTCTGCCGATTAGCAGAGGAAATGGGATCTGCTTCGGCTCCTGATCCTGGCATTCCAGTGCTGCCAGAGTCACCACCATCCTCCCACACCTTAGTTTAAGGTTCTCTGGACTATTTGGCCACCATAGTCCATTTGGTACCAAGTTGAAATTTGCTGCTAATTTCATTCTTTGAAATGCCTCTTACAGTCTTCACTTCATTTCTACTCCATAGATCCTATCCTGGCCCAGGTCCTTAAGCACCTCAAGCCTGGACCACTGCAGTAATCTTCTCATTCATTCATTCATTCATTTAAAAACGTGCATTGATCACTTGGTGGGTGCCAAACTGCTATAGACTTAGGAGTCACACTGATGAAACAGCACCCCCTTTCAAGGGATTAGTAGTCAGATGGGTACATGCCCAAATGATAAAACCTCTCCTTCCAGGCAGCATTCAAAGCTCATGCCAGAGGTGCCGTAGGAATACAAAGAGGGGTCCCTCACTCCTGCCAGGAAGTTGTCCCTGAAGACCTGGGGTGGAATCTGAGTCCCAGCAGATGAGTACAGGTGGGCTGGCCATTGCAGATGATGCCAGGCATTCTAGGAGGAAACAGTCTGTGTGTAAGAACATGGAATATTCTGGAAACAACAGCCAGTTTCTTTTTTGCAGATTCTAGGGGACCCCAAATGCACTCAGTTTGACTGCATGATGCTCACAAGCACCCCCATCTTACCCACCATATCTGATCATTGTCTCCTCAAAGAGGAGCCCTCTCCTCCTCATCTTCTCCAGTCCAAACCTGCTCCAGCCAACCCTTGCTAAGGGGCACATGCCTCATTCACCCCCTCCCTTCCCTTCCCCCCATCCTTGACTTTAAATCCTGCCTACCCTTCCAGATACACTTCACAATACCTTCCTGCCCAGACAAATCTTTTCTTGGCCACAACCTCTCTCACATTATTCTCTAATTGTTTTGTAGGCTTAAGTCTTGTTTCGTCAGCCAACATTAATTTTTTTTTCCAATGCTTCTGAATTATCCACAGCAGCAAACACAGGACTGGGAACACCCTGGGAGCTCAATAAATATCTGGGCACCATACCACTGATAAATTAGTCCTCCAAATTGGCTCAGAAGGCAGCCAGAATATTATGTTATGTTAGACATTTAGCTCATGTACAGCTCTCAGGAAGCTCTGCCAATTTCACCCATACCAGGGATTACAAACTCAAATGTCTGCAGGTGGTGAAAATGGGTAAAGAGTATAGATGACTTAGATATAAGAAATGATTAGCTTTTCTCTCAGCTCTATTATAAGTGAAACAATAGTTGAGCTGACACTTGTTCTCAGCACAGGGAGACAATAGGGAGCGGTGGAGATAGTGGCAACAAAACAGTGACAGTTTCAATTAATTGTTGCCACACTGGAACATGGGCCTGTTGATGACATATTCTCTGATTTTTAAAGAGAAACCAAAGATATGACATACCCCATAAAAAAAAATTAAAGCACTGTATAGGCCAACACTTAGTGGATAAAACATATCTGCACACCAACCACAGCATGGAGGCTGCCAGTTCACAGCCTAAATGGTGCTCTAAATGGTGGATGGTTCTGATGCCGAATAGTATTTTCTCCATGTATGTGAATGCTTTCTCATTATGTGCTTTAATTTAATGTGACTGATTAAACAATAGGGACTCATTTCTGTTTTTACACATACATTCAAAAACACACAACACACACATACATATCCCACAAGGTTAGGGTTGAGGCAAAAGGAAGTAGAGAATATTTCAAATTTATTTCTGGAACTTGAGAAAACAGCTAAAAGTTCAGTCGAGGGGTATCAGGGGTCAAGGGAACCACACTCCCATGATGTCCTTAGACTGATTTCAACTCATCAACCTGGGGTGTCCTCCAGATGCTTCTATTTTCTTAGAATTGGAGAAACTCCTCTTTCCATTTGGAAGGATAGTCCCTCTCCAGCCTCTGGGAGCTTTTGGGTTAAAAAGGAGAGTACATTTAAAAAAGTCAGTGATCCAAAGCTTATCTGTGTGGCTGAACCTCTGACTCCCTGTCGGCAGGTGGTGGGGCCCATTCAGTGTTCCCCAGACTTTAATGTGCAGGCAGTCCCCTGGGAATCTTGTTAAAATACTGCCTTTGATTCACAGGGTCTGGTTGGGCCTGAAATTGCATTTCTAACATGCTCCCAGGTGATGCCAAGGCTTCTGGGCTGAAAACCACATTTTGAGTAACAGAAGTGGACCAAGAACAGGCTCTGGTTTAAGGCCATGTGGGTTCAAGGCCATTGCCAGTTCAGCTAGCTGAATCTCCTAGGTAAATTCACTCAGCTAACCTCTCCAGGCCACAATCCTTCCCTCCTCTTACTGGCACTGCCTTGTTCCCATGATGTAGTGGTAAAAACCCAGGCTGTGTTGCCAGGCTACCTGGCTTTGAATTCTGGCTCTGTCTCCTCATTATGTGACCATGGGGAAGTTGCTTAACCTCACTGGGCCTCCAATTTCTCATTCATAAAGAGGGGACGATGGCAGCACTGACCTCTCTGGGTTGTGGTGAGGATTATAAGAGCATTAAGGCATGTACTTGTTTGGAACAGTGCCTGGCACATCATAAGCACCCCATAAATGCTGGGCATCATCTGTGAGCATGCTCTATGAGTGAAAGTACAAACAAATGCATTCCCTTTTAGGCCAAGTGAAAGTCACTCCCCGTGAAGACTGCATACCTTGCACCAGTGACCTCAGTTGGAGGGATTCGTTCACATATGGAGAGTGGGAAAGAGAGAACCCCTCTGGGCCACAGCCCCTCTCCCTCCTCAGCACTCTGGCAGCCTCCACAGGGCCACAGATGGCCCCACTCATAGGTACAGTGATGGGATTACACCTTTGTGGGATACCCTTGGAGTTTGACCTCAGGCCAGGGTTTAGGTCTTAGGTGGGAATAGGAGGTGGGGCAGCCACGGTCCTTTCAACCTCATCCCCTTCCCCCCCCCCCCGCCCTCTTCTTTGGGGACTCCAGTGAACTGAGTGAAACCCTAAGTGCAGCAACTACAGAGCCCCTGGAGCTCCCCCAGGAGTTCCCATGAGTGGCTCTGAAGGGACTGGATCTAGAATGACACTTCTCTCTGCTGGATGGTGTCCGGAGGGGTGGCCAGTGCTCTTCCCTTGAGACCATGGGGAGCCAGCTCCCTTTTCCTTTCCAGAGGCCTTGGGGAGTCCCAATTTTCTGTTGCAGAGAGTGAGAAGGAGCTAGGCTCCTTCTTAAACTTGGGGTCAAACTTCCCTGGGGCCCAGCCCTTCTCCTCCCTGCCCCATCATCCATCCATCCATTTAGTCACTGAACAAACCTGTGTTCAGTGTCTCCTAGCCAGAGAGAGATGGTCTCTAAAGGAAAATGTTAATAAACTACTAACGCTTATAAGATAGCTGTTATTAAAGCTGACAGTCTTTTAGATTAACATATTTATGTACCCACCCAAGACTCTGCAAACAATTTCTATCCTATTGAAGATTTTTCTCTCCTACACTGACAGGAAATTCTATCTGAGCCACTCTTTCACACTGGGGAGACCTGCGCAGCCCTCACCAAGACCACCCCGCAGCATTCAGCGTTCTGAGGGTGACTATCTGGGTGAAGGGGAGGAGAAAGCTGCAACTAAGGAAAAACTAGAATCATCTCACACTGGTAGCATAGCCTGTCCTTGGAGAACCATTTGGGCCTATGGCTCCCAGATGAAAAACATTATTCCAGCACGTCTCTGCACGTCCTGCCCACCTCACATCACTACTCCTCACCTCCGTTCCATCTCCAGGATGGGCACGAGAAAACATGCTCACAGAGCAGCCAGAACCAAGAGAAAAGAAAGGGAAGCAGCGCCAGAGGAGAGGTGGAAGAGCAAGGTGGAGGGAGGAAGTCAGAGAGGAGAGACAGAGAAGTAGAGACAGATGGAAACAGAAGAGACTTGGGAGACACACTGAAGAGAAAAGAAGAAATCCACCACTGACAGATGTCTCACCAAGCTTCTATTTATCTAATTTAAAACTTGAAAGTAAGACCATATACCAAACAAGGAATGTGTTATTTTCTCTGCTCGAACCACTCTCACAAGTGTGAGGGGCCAGAAATGAATTCCAGTCAGGGGTCCCTCCTTAATTTTCCCTTTTTGCCAGTATTTCTTGTTAATCCCTCTTTTCTGATTCAGGCTCATACCTTCTTCTTGAGCCACACCCCTACCTTGAACTTGCCAGGCCAGGCCTGATGTCCACATGGAGGTTTGGGTCTGTAGCTGTGGAAAGGTTCCCCCAGGAAGGAGTAAGGCAGAGTGTGCGAGGTAGGGGGATTTCTCTTGTGCAGTCAAACTTCCCATGTTGGTGAATATCTCACCCCTGCAAATAGCAGCTGCATTTCCTTTGCATAAGACAACTCCCTTGAAATGTTGAGGTACCTTGTTAGTGCTTTATTAAGCTAGTGATTCTAAAGAGAAAAGAGACAGACTTTCAGCATTGGTATAAGTGAGAGGTTTCCTTTTTTTTTTTTTTTTTTAAGATTTATTTATTTATTTATACAAGCACTGGGTACAGTCAGAAGTGCGGGAGGGCGAGAGAATTCACCAGAGCCAGAGCGGGGAGCAGAACAGGCAGACTGAAGTACACTGCTGAGGGGAGTAGCGGGCAGCAGGAGAGGTCTGTGCGCCATGTGGGACCCTCACCAGTGGCTGGGGATCGAACTGGAGCTGCAGAGGCTGCAGGCAGCTTTGCAACCCAGCGCTCAACCGCTGCGCCACCGGGGAGGCCCATAAGTGAGAGCCCATAAGTCACGTTCAAAGTTTAGGTAAAACCAGAGAGTCACTAAAGAGTGTCTGTCAGGGCATGGACTGGCCTCTATAAAATGCACATGAAATCACATTGAATAAAAACCAGACGAGGGGCAGCATTCTGTCTGCCCACCTGTGACTATGCAGGTGCTTCCTTTCACCAACTCTCTCCCTCCATAGGGCAGCAGCTTCCTGACTGCCTGTGACCTGTACCATGCCGGAGCTTCTCTTCACTGGCCTCCCTCAGTGGAGGCCGCCTGCCAGCAACCATGCAGGCCTCTCTCAGCAAACCTGTCCCTTTTCCTTTCCCTAATAAGCCTGCTCTTTAAATATTAAAAACAAAAAACAAAAAAACCAGACTAGGTGTTTCAGAGAAGTGACCCCACCTCCCAGCTGGAGTTTCTGGATGTCTTGCTCTGACTGAAGATAGCCTAAGAGGGTCTTTTTCTTCACTGACTTGGTTTTTCAGACTGAAATGGTTGCGGAACTGAAAAGTAAGCTCCTGGATCACCACATAGAAGTGATGTTCTAATTCTTGGTGCTTTTGCTGTCCACATAGACTGTCCCTCCCACACCCTGGTGCCAGTCCTTGAACTGCTACTGGCCAATATCCCATCTTCCATCCTCAGTCAGTGACCCTGTTGGTTTTACTCTAGAGTTTGTCATGAATAACTGTGGTTACCGGCCATTCCTGGTAGCCTAGGGGTTAAGTCTCAGCAGTACCACCAGCAAGGCCCTCCTGCCACAAAGCGGCCTGAATTCAATCCCCACCAGGGAGCTGACCTATATGGCATGGCAGACCTCTCCTATCTCACCCGCTGCTCCCCTCAGCAGTGTATTTCAGTCAGTCTGCCTGTTCTGCTCCCCACTCTGTCTCTGGTGGATCCTCTCACCTCCCTGCATCTCTAGTTTGTACCCCAGCTCTTGTATGCATAAATAAATAATTAAAAAAACAATAAAGGAATAATTCTTAAAAAAAAAAAAAAACACCTTGCACCTACCCCGTTCTGCCCACTCTCCAGCTCTACCACCTATCTTTTCCCTTTTGCCCACTAATCCATAATGTCACCAATTCTACCTCTCTCGCTCCATCTGGGTTTTCACTCTCCCTCTTCTCCATCCTCATTTCTCTCCTCCACACTGGATTCTGTAATATTCTCACTCTCACATGCACCTCTCACACCTTTGTGTCTCTTCCATTTCATCCTATTCACTCAGCTAGCTGCAGTTCTGCCTGCACCATGCCACGAAGCTTGCCGGGAGAAAACTAAGACATGCTAAGCAGTCTCACCTCATAGTCATGATCACAAGCCCCCAGAGTGTCCCTCGTGTTGGCTGCTGGTCATACTATGTTCCCCTCCTTTGTTCTCTCTACTGAGTAGCTGCTTTACACCATCTCTCTTCTCCAACCCCTGCTGCTTCCTGATGACCCAGCTTCCCATCACTGAAACATAGTAGCAGGTGAGCTCAAAGCTTCCCACTAGGCAGGGCAATGCTAGTTCTGTTATAGATAAACCTCCAAATATCAATGGCATCAAGTAACCAATAGAAGTTTATTACTCATGAAAAGTCCCCAAAGGATATACCTGCTCAATGAGTGGCTCTTTAATGGGAACCGTCCATCTTATGCCTCTACCTGGTTTCTAGGGTTTCCACAGAAGGAGGAGAAACTTGGAGAATGACATGGGTTTGTATGGCCAGTCCTGAAAGTAGAGGGCATCATTTCTGCCCCTCTTGCTTCAGCTGAGGCTTACACATATGGCCACACTGCAAGGGAGGCTGGGAAATCCCATCCAGTTGTGTTCACAGGATGAAGAAGAAACAGTTTGGTAAATGTTAGTCAATCTCTTCCACACTTCCTCACTCATCATAAAAGTTAATGTCCTTGCAGTGGTCCAAAGGCCATAGGGGGTGTCCTTGGCCCTTGCCACCATCGCTACCACTACCTCCCTGACCTCTCAGTTACTGAACTCCAGCCACATTGGCTTCCTGCCACTCCCCAAGCACACTTCAGTTCAGGACCTTTGTCCGTACTGATCCATTTTCCTGGAATGTTCCTCACCACCTTCAGAGGTTCACTCATGTCCTCTTTAAGAGCCTTCCCTGGCTACCCTTTTTAAGATTGCAATACCACGCCTGAGAGACCAAACCTCCTCTGATCTCCTTTCCTGTCTTCTTTTATTCCTTAGCCCCCATCACCATCTCTTGTTCTATGTATTTTGGCTCTGTATCTTGTTTGTTTGTTGCTTACCAGAAAGTAAGCACCACCACCGAGAGAGTGTTTGGTCCATTTTGTTTACTGCTGTATCTCTGGTACCTAGAACAGTGTCTGGCACACAGGAGACAAGAATTAATTTGTGGAATGAATGTTTAGTAGAACCACAGGAACAGAGTTGGGATGCTTGGAGATGTGTAAAGAACACCTGGGTTATTTTTTTTTTTTTAAGATTTATTTATTTATGCCTACAAGAACCCCGGTACAAGCCAGAGGTGCAGGAGAGGGGTTGAGAGGATTCACCAGAGACAGAGTGGGGAGCAAAACAGGCAGACTGATGGCTGTACCATGTGGGTAGCAACCTGGCCGGCCGGGTATCAAACCCGTACTGCAGAGGCTGTGGACAGCCTCACAGTGCTGTGCTGAACACCTTGTGCCACATAGGAGGCCCCAAAACACCTGTTTTTTGATGTGGGCACCATCATCCCTTTCACAGAGTCCTTCAAGTGCTTCTCTCAGAGACAGTAGCCAGGGCTAGATGGACCTCAGGTGCAGCTGAGGTGACACTTCTTGTATGTCACCCTTCAAGTTCTTCCTTCTCCGCTTATCTTTTGATTCTGAGGCTCCCATGAGGCCCGGTGTGTTTTTCTCTGCTCAAAAAGCTTAATTTATTCTCATGGCTCCATCATCTCCCTCCTGGCCAATGATCCTTCTAATTATCTCCTCCAGCTATTGGCTCTTTTTAGATGATCTACCATCACCTACATTTACCATGTCTTGAACTCATCACTTTCCTCATCTTCAACTCATCTAACTCATTCTCCCAGTTTCCTATAATTAAAAATGTAAAAATTTTTGTGTTCTTTATTTCACCCAAGCAGTCACTAAGTCCAGAACTTATTTCCACTTAAAAAAATATACCTTGCAAATAAGCATTCACTTCCATTTTCCTTGCTTGGCCTAGTCCAAGCCCTGATTCATCAAGACTGTGAGGGTTGAAGGCCACATCTCTGGCAGAGTCCCACTAACTTTATGCGGCCTCCTCTCCCTCTCCCGTTAGGCTGCAGTTTCCTGAGGGCAGCGACCATGTCCCATTCATTCTGGGTTCACCAATATTTAGTATCCTACTCCATGGCTTCCTATTGAGCCTAACATCAATAAGGCATTTTAAAACCATTTTTCAAATTCCTAAGGCAGCCTGTTCTAGAATCAACCCTGGAAAGAACCATTTTCAACTCATTCCATTTAAGGTTAAGCCTACAACCCTTCATAAGCCCCACAATTCACATTTCTTCCCCATTCAGGTTCCTCAGGTGAAGACCATCCAGCACTTAGAGGAAACTATCTAAATTTTCCTTCAAGCCCCCTGTGCTTTTTTAAACTCCCTTCTCCCCTATCTGGTCTGGAATTTACCTCCCACTCTGTCCTCTTGCTCTATGTTCCAGTTATTCCTCTTGCTCAAGTCAGCTTCGCTAGTTCAGCCTGAGTCACACCTTCTTGCAAATGCCTCTGTGACCACCACCCAGGATTACTGTCACTCTGTCTGAATTCCAAAAACATTAGTTGTCAGCCTCTCATCTTGGCACTTAAAAGTTAACTTGTTTTGTCTTTCATTTTCATGAGCATACTACTATGTCCACTGGAAATTAAAGTATAGAGGCATATATGCTAAGAACCCAGCAGTTTATATTGCATTTGTGTTGTAAACTTTGTAGCTCATTTAATGTTTTCATTTCATGGCATGAAAACAAGTGAATAATTTCCTATGTTTCTCCTAAATTGGGGACCTGATTCAGTTCACTTAACATCATTATGTGCTTAATACAACAAAGGTTGTTACAAAGATGAATAAGGGCAGAGCTCTACCCTGAAACAGTCTACAGGAGAGATAAGCAGCGTTTTATAACAAAATTTGGCCAAGTGTACTTTAGATACAAAGTGCTATGAAAGCAAATATGGGAGAAATGCTGCCTAGTGGGGTCAGAAAAGGCTTCTAGAGCTAACAACTGAGCCAGATTTCTATAAACCCAGACTTCTAGTGACATTTACAAAACAGAATCTGGGAAATGCGCTTGGAGCGAAAGCCCATGGAGATGTGAACGGGCTCTGGGACGATGGTGGTCAGGGAACAAGGTATGTAAGGAGGAGTAGTGGGAGGTGAAGCTGGGAGATACAGGAGGGAGTCAAATAATCAAAAGCTCCCTGTAGGTGACCCCACCAGGGCGGCAGCGCCAAGAAGTTGGTGCTGGGATTGTTCAAACAACTGGCGACTGAGTGGGCATAATTCGGGCCTGGAGGCCTGCGGGCGCGAGGACGCCCAGCAGCGTAACCCAAAGCCAAGCCCCGCGCTGCGAGCCGGAACGTGGCGGCCGGACGACCGCGCCCACACGCCGGCCGGGGTAGGGGGCTGGGACCCGCCATCCCACAGGGCCCTGGACGCGACTTGGGCGGGAATCCGGTCCACGCAGCTCGGCGCGCTCGCGGGGACGTGGCGCTTTCCAGCCAATCCCGGCTCCAAGCCTGTGGGACCAATGGCTGTCCAGGGAGGCTTTGCGTCAGCGGCGGGTCTGTTGCTGATTGGCCAGGACGCCGCCGGTGAGGCGGTAGGGGCGGGGCGCGGAGCCTCTTCCGGTTGGGTGGTGCTTGCGCGCGTGAGCGGAGCCGGTGGGTGAGCTGAGGCCGCGGCGAACCTGGGCTGAGGGCGCGACGGGGAAAGGTGAGTGCGGGGGGCGCCGGCCTCACCTCGGCCGCCTCCTTTTCTCCTTCTCCTTGTGCTGGGGCCTGGCTCCCGGAGCCGCGCGGGCCTCCTTGCCGGGCGCGTATTTCTGCCAGCGCGGGGAATGGGGCCTGAGCCCGCCCGCGACCCCCGCGCCCTCCGCGCGCAGCCTGTGCCGGAGGCCGCCGCTCGCCGGCTCGCGCGCTTCGGGCCCGGCCTGGTCCCGGGGGCTCCGGCCCCCGGCTTTGCCTCCCTGGGGGTACGTACTGTTTGGTACCTGGCTTGCCACGTCCTCCGCCCCTGGGCCCCGCCACCTGCCGTGTCCCGAGTCCCTCCGACGAGAGGGTCACCCTTGTTTGCCTCCTGAAGGTCGGAGAGCAGCCGGTGGCTTTATAGTAACAGCTCCCGCCGCCTCCCATTCACTGGCCGGCTTGGGTCTGCCAACCCCGCCCCAAGGCCATATTCTCAGAGCTGGGTGGATCCTGCCAACAAAGTCGTGTTCGCTGGCTTGGAGGGTGTAGAAGCAGGCGAGGGAAGAAAGCATGAAGGCTCTGTGGGTTTTTAAAAACCCTGCATCACTGTAATGAAAAGCCCAGGGTTTAGCTACAGACTTTAGTGCGATAGGAAATACATTTTTTAAATCGTTTTTAGAAAACGATGTTTTTTGTTTTTTGTTTTTTACTTTTTGTTGCTTCCAGTCCCAACCCTAGTTCTGATTTTTGACATGCTGTGTTGAGGAGTAAACTTAATTCCCTACAGCTGTCCCGTTTTAGAGCATCGTAGTGTGGCTTGCAGTCTCGAAAACTTTCTGCATCAAGGCAGAAACTCCCTGTGAAAACGTTAGGGCCTTTGATCTAAATTCCTACATGTATAAAAGCTTAGAAGAGTGTCTTTGAGAATTAATTGCAGTCACTTTCTGGCGTGAACCACAAATTAGTCAACGTTAATGAATTGGAAATAAGGTCGCTTCTTGTTTTTGTAGCCTGGATGTAGCAAATCTTGGAGTCTCTGAGATATTACTCCTTGCCATGCAATGGAACTTGACACAAGATAAATGCATGTTTGACTTCATTCAGTAGATTTAGTTAAGTCCCAAGCTATTTCATCACTGAAGAATTTATGTAGTATAGTACAAAAGAGGGTCCAGAGATGACCTGTCAGGTGTATTTGTGTGTACAGAGGATGAGTTTGCCTAGGCCTAATCATGTGATTCAAGAGTTTCCAATAGAATTCTGTTGAGAATCACAGCTGAAACCATGAGCTGATGAAAATGATCTGGTTTTGTCTGAGTGGGTGGTACTCAGTTATAGCTCTGAAGCCAACTTGCCATCACTTTCAATATAATCAATTTGCTTCCATTCATCAGCAGTGTGTCAAGAGGTTTTTTTTTTTTTTTTTAAGTTTTTGTAGATTTATTTTTTATTTATACAGTAGCTGGGGTACAGGCCAGAGGTACGGGAGGGTGAGAGGATTCACCAGACACAGTGGGGAGCAGAACAGGCAGATTGACCGAAGTACACTGCTGAGGAGAGCAGCGGGCGAGACAGGAGAGGTTCACCACGCCATGTGGGTTTCTCCCTGGCAGGCCGGGAATCAAACCGGCGCTGCAGAGGCTGCAGACAGCTTCACGGCTCTGCGCTCAACTCACTACGCCACCAGGGAGGCCCTCGAGATACTTATTGATGGCACTTGGTATCTTTGCACCAGTTTAGGACATCATTACATTCTATTAGCTTAGACTTTTCGGTAACATGGATGTGCAAGGAGTGTTGGAAAGCCAGAGGTGACTAGGTAACTTTCAATGTTGGAAAGCCATTGAAAATGGTTATGGGGGGGGTGGCTGTTGGGGAACTTGGACAGGCAGGAACTACACTGCTGCCAAATACATCCAACTAATCCATTAAGTTGTATTGGTATATAAAAAGTGCAAGCACGAATTAGGAACTGGGGAAGGATATTAGTTTATACTAACAGATCTCTGCTTCCCAAAAGTGTGGAGTATATAGGGAAGCTATGACGACAGCTTAGTAGTCTATGGTTATTATTATGAAGTGGTATGAACAAGTTTTGTAAAAGTTTAGCAGAATAGGCACAGATCACTTCCAGCTGCAGTGATCTTAGGAGATCTTTTCATCTGGGCCTTTTAAATTGTAGATACTTGGCACTGAGGAAAGTTGAGCTAAAAATAACTACCAAAATCTCAAAGACTGCATACAATTTACATATGCACAGCAAAATTGCAACCAAATCAAATTCTTTTCCATACATTTTGCATAACATTCCTATGGCAATTAATCATGTATAAAATATCATCAGCCAAAAGGAAACTTTCTCCTAGAAATTTTTTCTTAAAGAAAAATTTTCACTCTGTAGCCAGAAAAATTTAGTTTGTTGCCTTGATTATGGAACTGATGAAGCCTGATTTTCAGTCACTCTGAAAGCTTCTCTTCTACAGCCAAATTTTGCACTTTTATATACTCAACAATCTTAGAGATGTATGCCCCCCGTCACACAAATAATCTAATTAGAATGTATTAATTAAATTTGTTCAGCCACTAGGAAATTGAATAGTTTGTCATTGCCATAACCTTCATCAAATGAAGGATGGCGTTACTACTTTTTTGGATCTGCAGTCCAGTGATGGTATTTGTGTTAAAATTTATTAGTGAAGAATGTCAAGTAGATAACCAACCAGGTACCTTCAATTTCTAGATTTCATAACATGGGCCTTAGTATTATTAAATTGCTATCAGTCTACTCCCCCAATACCAGTTGAGGTAGACACTTAAGCAGTGAGATCTTGCTTTTGCTGCATTATAGAAACCCCCCCCGCCCCCCCCCCCCCCCCCCCCCCCGCCCCGGTAATATCCAACTCAGAGAACTGGAATTTTACCACCACACCCATTTCCCCACTTGATAACATTGAGCAGTGGGTGTTTGGTCAACCAGAACAACTGGGATCACTCACTATTAATGTTCTTGAGTAGTTTCATTTAATCTGCATATATAAATTTCCCAAAGCAATTTACTCTAAGTATTCTGTAACCAATGGACTTTTACAAAAAATGGAGTGGGGGGAGGGGAGATGAGATATAATTTATACCTTTCATGGAAATTTTTATTAGATAAATAAACTAATTTTTAAGACTCATCATTGTTCCTTGAAAGAAATTCAAGCTTATGCCATTTTTTCCCCCTTATAAATTACTGAAATAGTTCATGAAATTAACTTTGCAGGAGATCATTATTGGTAATAATGTGCAAAGGGATGATGATTACTTCATATTCTGTTTTAGCTCTTTAGCTTATCTATAATGGTGCCATCCAGTAGAAATATAATGCAAACCACATATGTAATTTTAAATTTTCAAGTGGAAATTTAAAACAGGTGAGATTAATTTCCAATAACTTATTTAATCCAATACATACAAAATACTATTCTAACACTCATACCACATCTTAACTACATTAGCCACATTTCAAGTACATAGTGACCACATGTGGCTAATGCCTATTGTACTGGACGTGCAAGTCTATATTTTTTAAAGAAAATATTAGATGTTACCTTGGCGGAGGAAGGGCAGAATTTTAGGGTGAACAGTTACAGTTCATTTGAGGAGTAGGTAATGGGGAGATGGATATTTCACAGCCATTGATTTATCTTCTAAATCACATGGTAAGAGTCCATACAACCAGGTCCTTTATTGTGTATGTCATATTTTCCTAGTATTTGGTTGTCTACTGATGTGTAACTGTGACGATGGGGAAAGGAGAGAGGGATCGCCAGCTTTCTATCCTTTGGTTTCAGACTGGCTGAAAAGAGAAAGCTGCTTCAAATATAATTGCACTAATGTTCTTCAAATGCCTTGTGTGAAAAGTTGTTTCATGCTTTTTCTTCTCCTATCTTTCCACACAGACTATCCTTTGTCTTGAGGGGAATAACATTCTTTTCAACTTGAAAATTTTTATATGTATGTGGACTTAGATAAATCTAGTACAGCCTTGTTTTTGTGTCTGTTTTCATAAAATAAAAGGTCTTTTGTTAGAGTCCCTAATAGCCAGAAGTTGGTATATTATGTGCACAAAGATCTATGATATGTATGTGTGTATTAATATTTTAAGTTAAAGTGTGACTTTATTTCCCGCTGTAGAAAGATGAAGGTAAGACCACTACTTTGTCCATGAGGTGGTCCTTGTTGACCCTTTTAGGCAAACCTACCAATTTGTGGTAGAAAAGCAGATTTCAGGGTGACAGGTGTTAAGGAATTAGTGAGCGACATAGACAGCTCCTAAAGACTGGGAGAAAGAAGGAAAGAGCAAGGTCTGAGCAAGACTGATAGTGAATTGTGGTGATCTAAGAAGTATCAATTCACAGAATGAAGGAGCCTGTAACAAGGTAGGATAGCGAGTTTAACTGAGGAGAGGGAGGGGGAAAATGATGGATAAATGATAAAACCAGACCACTTAATTTTTAATCTGCTGTTCTCTATTCTTAAATCAAGATGTTAAGTCTCAAACTTAAGTGTACTCTTCCTTCTAAATCAGTGAATCAATATGTTGCATTTCTATGTGTTACATGTATCAAAACTTTGTAAAGTGCCCTTTTTGAGACCTGGATAGGATACTGTTAAAGCATATTGTAACATTTGGGTCTTGTAAGAGCTTCTGAAAGTTTTTATACAAAGGTTAGGATTTTTTATTCTGGGAACGTAATTAATCATTTATAGAATTTTCCTAAATATGACATCCCCTAATTAATGGGCATTAAGGAAAACCTGCTGTTGTAGTGACTCTTGATTTTACTTGAATCTGTAAGTCTGTAACATTACAGATATTGTTTGGATATATGACAAAATGTCAACAATGTGTAGTTTGTTCCTAGTCTAAAGAATTTTGTCTGAAGAATTATTTGTACTTTGAGATGGAAGTTTCATGTTGCCCTAAAGACCCTTTGCCATTTAAGAGAGCTACCAAATTTCTAATTTTCTTTCTGTTCCATCATTTGATTGATCTTATCCAAGTGTAGACTAGAGTGTCACTCTAAAGCAATATGTTTTATTTTTAAATAGTGTTTATGTCTTAAGAATGGATAGGTGTTCTTCCTGTAGATTCCTTTTTCAGTCTGGAGAAATGACTTGAAAATATTTGCTTTGCCTATTTTATTTGCTTTGCCTACTGAATATTGAAGAGTTTAATACTGTTTAAAAAGTAATACACAAGTGTGTGCTCATTTACAAAAAAAAAGAAAAGACAGCACAGCAGAATATAGTACTAAAGTTCACTCCAACCTCCTGCTCTCATCTCTCTATAGGGGTTATCACTCCTGTAGAGTTTCTGATTTGAGTTTATAGAGATATGAGTTTCAGTGCAGATTCACCACTTTTAACTTCTGTGTAGTGTCCCATAATACAGTTTTAATATATATTTTCTAATTCTCTAGTTTATTTTCCATTTTTATCATTATAAACTATCATCATTGAATATGTGTATACAAGTATCTTTGTATACAGATTTGATATTTCAACAGAATAGCACAGCCGAATTCTAACATTAGCTGGAACAGCTTAAGAAAAGTACCATCATCTTCCTTTTTCTCTAAGTGTGTAGTTTTGCTTTCATATTGCTTGCTCTAATTGGTTTTCATATGTCTTAAGAGTCACTGTTTTGAAAATGGGCACTTGTGGTGTGGCCCCCTCCCATTATCTCTCTAGCTGTATTTCTGTTTGCTTGATTGGCAATGTCCTGTTTACTCTAGAACACTTTCTACTCTAGTGATGGCGCCACCTCTGCCATTTGAGGAGTTTACTAGCCTCCCCCACTGAGTTGCTTTCCCAGATCAAAAGCTGTTCACTGAGGCCTCGGGTTATGCCTTTGTATTATCAGCTCTCTAGATTGTGTTAGAATCGAGCATATTTCTTTATTTGCTTTCCTGAGACTTTAAAGGAATCTTTATGTAGCATGTTCACTGTGAGCTGTGCTTAGTTTATTGAATCCAAAAGGATCTATAAATCTATGCTAATATAACTAACTTTATAACGTACTTTTATAATGTAATATACTGTAGTTACTATTCCAGAGTTACAGAGTTAGTCTGTTGATTAATTTAATTTCCTAATCCCTAACACAATTTGCTCTCTTTATTCTAGTCCCAAAATTTTGAGGCAAGATCAGATATATGCAGTTTATTCATATTAAGTATACTTAATATAACATATTTCTTAAGTTATTAATGTGACTGAGAGTTTGGTTAAAATAGAGGTTCTTAACCTGGCTGCCTTTTTTTCTAAGATTTTATGTATGCATACAAGAACTGGGGGGTAGGCCAGAGGTGTGGGGGTGTGTTGAAAGGATTCATCAGAGACAGAGTGGGGAGAAGAGCAGGCGGATTCACAGAAATATACTCCTGAGGGGAGCAATGGGAGAGACGGGAGAGGTCTGCTATGTCATGTGTGGGTTAGCTCCTTGCCTGGGGATCAAACTCATGCCAAACTCACGCTTCAGTGGCACGTTATAGCTTGATAGCGCTGAGACCTTAACCCTGTGCCACCAGGGAGGCCTGACTTGGCTGCCTTTAATAAATATTAATGGTTAGGATGGGATGCAGTGGTCATATTATCTGACAACTCCTTGGGTGATTCCAGGGTGCAGTCTGAATTCAGAACCACTGGTGAGAAGCTATGCTGGAAGTTTTTTTATAATTAAAAAAAAATTCACATAAAATGTGAACCCTTAGACTAGATATTTCTATCATTGACATCCTAGAGAGGGGACGTCTAGCTAGTTTAATTTGCAGAGGAGGACAAGGTAATGCATTCAACATTCATGTGATGGCAGTGTCCCTCTGTACTGTAGCCACAAGCTGTTTCCTAGGGATCTATAATAACCACAAACTGACTTAAAATGCAGAAATTATTTTCTTCCAGATCTAGGGACTAGAAGTTAGAAGTCAAGGTATGCAAGACCAACACCTCTCTGAAGTCGCCACAGGGGCACCTTCCTTGCCTCTTCTAGCTTCTAGCAAGCAGTCCTTGCTTGGGATTCTGTTCCTTGAATTGTAGGCGCTTCACACCAACATGGCATTTTCCTTTTCTCTTTGTGTCTGTGTCCAAAGATCCCACTAGTTATTAGATTAGACTAATTCCCTAATTTACTGTGACCTCATTTTTTTTTTAAGATTTTTTTTTTTTTAAATTTATACAAGCACTGGGTACAGTCAGTGTGGGAGGGTAAGAGAATTCACCAGAGCCAGAGCGGGGAGCAGAGCAGGCAGAAGGACCGTACACTGCTGAGGGGAGCAGCGGGCAGCAGGAGAGGTCTGCGCACCATGTGGGACCCTTGCCCAGTGGCTGGGGATCGAACCGGCGCTGCAAAGGCTGCGGGCAGCTTCGCAACCCACCCCTCAACTGCTGCGCCACAGGGGAGGCCCCTCCTTTCACTTTTAAAGCAAAAGGATTAAAGTTCTGCCTTGATGTCTTTTGAAGGGAGATTTATTTACATGTTGGACATTTTAGCTAAAACTGCTTGTTAGTATAGAATCAGATACAGGAAGCTGGTGAAAATTTCTCACCATAAGACTGGAAAGTTGTCTTATTCTGCCATACTTATTTTATAAATTAATAGCATTTGGGGGTAATATAAGTGATTTGTATAGATTTGCTTATCAAAATAATTTTACTAATTTAATTTCTTGTTAATTATTATGCATACTCCTTCCTGAATTAACTGCCTTTCTTTCTCTTTAAGATCTGATTATCATGGACCTGCGACATTTTCTTATGTGCCTGTGCCTGTCCCTGTGCATAGACTTTGCCTTGAGCAAGCCCACAGAAAAGAAGGACCGTGTACACCATGAGCAGCAGCTCAGTGATAAGGTTCACAATGATGCTCAGAGTTTTGATTATGACCATGATGCCTTTTTGGGTGCTGAAGAAGCAAAGACCTTTGATCAGCTGACACCAGAAGAGAGCAAGGAAAGGCTTGGGTAAGGCGCCAGCTCTCGGGGCTGGTGAGGGTAATAGCATTTATTTATACATCAGCTCATTCCTTCTTTCCTCTTCTGAGTTGGTCACTCAGTAAAGCTGTGTTGACCTGTATCTTCTAAAAGCTAACCACAGAATTGCTATTTAATAAAGTGCTTGCTTTCATATATTTCGCAATAAAATTACAGTTTGTATTTCATTCTACAAAGCAAAGTTATTTTTTATGTAAAAGTACCAGCTGCTACAAGACCCAGTTTAAACTGCATCATTTGATACCAAAGGAAGATTACATGGGGATTTCACATCTCTGCTCCTTTTAATTTTTTTAGAATTATCTGTGATCTATTTATTCATTGTTACCCAAGCCAAATCTTAGAGTGGATAATAAATGGCATTATAGACCCCTGGACTAAATTGCTCTGACATTTATGATTTTCCAGGATGTTCTTCTCCCTCATTGGTTTCATTCTCAAATGTTTAATTAAAAGAAATAAACATACAGACCTTGCCTTTTAGAAGATGTGACAAGTAATGTCTTGATGTAAGAGTATGAGTTGCTGTTTCAATAATAAGTGGGCCACAATCCAGTTCTTTGACTCGCCTAAGCATCTTAAGAGCTGACTTGGGAGAATCCCAGTTGGTTATTTCTAACTGGGGGCTGGAGAATATCTTTTTCGACTCTTCAAAAAAAATAAATGCATTTTAAGTATATACAGGTTAATTTAGTGAAAATTTTTCCTCAACAAGCACTGTTCCTGCAGTTGTGCATTATATGATATTCAAGAGATCTGTCTGGAAAGTTGTACCACATAGCAATTTCTAAAAATACTTTGCCCATCACAGGTAATGCTGTGATTAGAAGATATTATATATAAGGCTGCTTTGGAAGAGAATAAATTGGTTTACCCATTGACTGAAAGGTACAATATTTTACTATTCAAAACTGAGAGAAATGGTAAAAAGATTTTGCTATGTAGAATGAGCAACTATCCCATAACATTTAAAAGTAGATACAGAAAACAAATGCATTAAAGAGTCGGTCTTCTGTTAGGTTGCTTTTCTGAGAGACCATGATCACTTTGAATTTTAATCTGTTAAGTGTGCTAACATTCTAGGGGAAATAGGGGTGCATGCGGGTGTTTTCTCATGAGGGTGTTCTCTCTTCATGTCTTGCTGTTAATAACATGCATGTCCAACCCACATTTTGATCTGCATGTCTGCCTTCTCAGAATTACTCTTGAATAATAAAGCGCCCTTAGATTTGGTGTCAATCAGGATGTTCTGGCTCTTTGCAGATTGGATTTCCAGAGCTATGATGAATATGGCTCTGCTGGCAGTTTTCAGTATGGAAAAAAATGTTCCTTTTTCTCATTAAATATTAATCAAAAGTTCAACACAGGAGCAGGCTCCATATATGATTAGACTAAGATGGTTAGAACCACATTTTGCATGGGACGTATGAATGAACTCAGTACTATGTCCTAAATTTTGGTGATATGACAAACGATCCCGACTTTATAAGGAGACATAGTGTTGAAAGCAAGAATTACAGGTGAACTTTTTTTTTTTTTTAACTTTTTCACTGTGGTAATTATAAACCTTTTTTTTGGTAATGACTGTACACCAGAAGTTGGAAACAACAGATTATCCCCTTTTCCATCTATCTATATAAGGCAAGTCATTATTAGAAGAGAAAATCATCGTTCATGCCCTGCGAGGCAAAAAGTCACTCTTTTACAATCTTTATACTATTTGAAAAGACCACAGGAAGCATTTAAAATCAATTTTAATATAAAATTTTTGGTTCCTTTTTCTTAAGAATGTTGATGGTGCACCACACCACCAGGCCTGTAGTCATTGGGAGAAAAAAAGAATATTGACAGTAGCATATTTTTCTTACATGTATATTCTCCTCACCACCACCACCACCCCCCGCCTTTCTCCCAAAGGCTAAGGTATACTTAATTTTCATTTAGTTGTCCTTCCAGTGAGGTTTTGTTTTTCGGTGATGGTCCTTAATATAAAAAAGTTCTTACACTTGATATATTTGCTATAGAAAAGAACTAGAGTACTTCACTTCATCCTGTTTTGGGTCAAAAGCCCAGCCCCTTTGGGATTCTAATGAAAAGCTAAGGATTTCTAATGAAAGCTAAGGATTCTTCCTCAGGAAAGTGTTTGCATATAAATATCTATAAAATTTTGCATGCTGTAAAGGAACCCTCTTGGAGCCCACATATTGACTCAGGTTCTTAAGAAACAAGAGTTTGCTTTATGCCTTTTGAAATATAGAGGTATGCGTTACCTCTTAGGAGAAATAACATTAGGTCACTAAGTGTATTGTGTCTGTCCTGGGATAAATGTTTATTTGTGGCATCATACTTATGTGTATGTCATCAGAATACATACAGTATAGTTAGCATCATAACTTCACACAGGCTTTTAAAGATCAGAGTGTAGAGCTTCATGACTAAAATAAGATGTATACTCACTCCCAGTGTACTTTAAAAACTTCTGGCAAGCTGGATTGCCAGTGAGACATAAACGGCTTTTGTGTTTTTAAAAGGTTGTAAAAAATTTTTAGAAATGATATGGACAGACTATATGTGGTCCACAAATCCAAAAATATTTACTATCTGTCTATTCTCAGAAAGAATTTGCCAGCCTCTGGATTAAGCCATTTGGAATATTTCTGTTGGAATAAACAGCCAACTTCATTAAGAAAAGCCCATCTTGAACAGTCATATGCCTTTTTTCTTTCTAATCTAAGAAATCCTACTGTTTAGGCTATTTGTAATAGTTTAAAATTTTCTTTGAGGGGGAGGTCTGATACTTTGACTTTTTCTCATAACACTGGCACTACTGGTAGCCAGTACTATGTGGACACAAACTGAATCCCCATTATAAACAATCTGGAACTTTTTCATACTGGTATAATTTAATCTGATGATATTGTTTAAACTCTATACAGGATTAAAATTGCAAATATTTTCTTGTCCTATGTCAATGCAGATGGAGGGTATTAGGGGGATGACTTCTTAGTTGCTTTACCTTTTCTATTAACATTTTAGAACAAAAGCTACAAAGTTACACATTCTCTGTTAATTATAGGATTTAAGTAACAGGACTGATGCCACGTCAGTATATTCAAGATGAATCTGTTTCATAATGACACTAGTACTCTGATTCTGATTACTTTCCAATGTATTTATCAAATGAATGCAGACTGGAAAGAGGGTACATTTGCTGTTGCCTTTTTAATCCGGCAAACAACAGTGCATAGGAGTATGCCAAGATTTTGATTTTGTTGGAAGCTTTGAGTTAAACTTCCTATTTCAAACTAGGCTGCTTACTCATGTGACTTGTGTCAATTGTGTTAGCTTCCCTAAGTAGGTGACTGCGTATTTAAACAGGAGTTTTCATTTACACATAGTTTGAAGTCCTTAAATTGAGATGACAGATCTAGAAGAAAGAAACTCATAAAGGGCAAACTATATCAATTCTTAAACTTTGTAGTTTTGCTTTATCATCTGCACTCTAACCCTCTCAGCTAATTAACATTGTCTTAGAGATACACATTCTTACTACATCTTTCCCTCATTGTTCTCTGTTTTTGTGGTTATATGTAAGAAATCAAATTCACCATAGCATGTAATAAGCTGCTAGTTGTTTTTTTAAGAGTAAACATGCTACTTCTTTGTGTACCTGTTCTGTTTTTTTCCCAAATAATCTTGTTTTGACATATAAATGATCCATGAACTATTATAGATATCTGTATTTTTAGTAAGAATGTTGTCTGTTCTTAAAAGCTGATGAATTTTTTAAAATCTAGTTCAGATTTTTGCAAAAAAAAAATCATATTAATGGTTCTTTTACCAAGAAATTGAAAGTCTTCCAAAACAGTAAAGCTATAAAGCTTTATTTGTTTGAAGAAGAGTAGAGAACCCAGATACGAATGGATTTTCACTCCAGAATTCTGACCATAGTCTAAACCCCACTTCTGAAGGGATAGGCTGGGTTTGTGTCTGGATTCAAGTGCACCAGCCATGGACCATATTTACTTCATCCAAATGACTCATTACAGACCAGTAATGAGCCACAAAGCAAAGAATTTCAGTTGCCTGTCTGGAATTGTTGTTTTGGAGACAACTTTTTTATTCCATTGCTTTAGCCCCCTGGGCAACACCTACGGTCACAGCACACACCTGGCTAAGTCCAGAGTCCTGTGTCCTTTTAACCTCTTGCTGGATTTCTCTGCATTTTCTACAGAAAGATTGTAAGTAAAATAGATGGCGACAAGGACGGGTTTGTCACTGTGGATGAGCTCAAAGACTGGATTAAGTTTGCACAAAAGCGCTGGATTTACGAGGATGTAGAGCGACAGTGGAAGGGGCATGACCTCAATGAGGACGGCCTCGTTTCCTGGGAGGAGTATACAAATGCCACCTACGGCTACGTTTTAGGTAGGTCCCTGCTGTCTGGGGGAAAGCTTTGTGGAGCCGGCGCCTTGAAACGTAACTGTTTTGTCTTGTAGAATGATTATAGATAAAATAGACGCGGATAAAGATGGGTTTGTGACGGAGGGGGAGCTGAAAGCCTGGATTAAGCGCGCCCAGAAGAAATACATATATGACAATGTTGAAAACCAATGGCAGGACTTTGATATGAATCAAGACGGCTTAATCTCCTGGGATGAGTACAGAAACGTGACTTATGGCACTTACCTGGGTAAGGGGCAAGATGTCAGCCCAGCAGAGACCATAGTCTTGAATCAAATAAACAAGTGGGTCACTCAGTAAAGGAAAGGAAGAGATTGTGTTTATCTTAAATAGTTCTATGCTGAACTGATTTTCCTTTCTTTTCATTTTAAATTTGCATAATATATTTTTAAGATTTGTTAAGTTGTGGTATTGTGAGTTCTGGCATCATGTACATTCTTTTGCATTTCAGATTATTTTGCCATTTTTTTCTTTCTAACATCTCTCAGATCATTTTGGAGTAGCTCCCATTTTAAAAGACTGCATTGTTCCAACAATGCCAAGCAAGAGGCTTTGAGATAGCTCATTGATGTGGTCACATTAAAGTGTTGGACTTGAAACTCATGCCAAGTTAGATTCCTTTATAACTGGCGAGAATAGGAGGAAAATTACAAAAATAAGGGTCAAGCGGAATAGCTTTCCTTGGTAAAATTTAACTATTTCAGTATGTCTGCTTTCAGTTTAGAAATGAAAATTTTCTTTTTTTTCCTCTGGCACATGAGTTTATCAGCCTGCTTTGCAAATGCCTCAAAGCAAGTAAATGTGACTTTGATTGCTTTTTGTTGATTTGGTAGTTTGTGTGTGGGGGGCACCTGTTAGTAATTTTCTTTTACTTATTACACTTGCCTGCTGCCGGATGCTAGGTGGTGATCTTGCTCAGTTGATGGCTTGGGGTTTTGTTAGTGAAATTCCTCTATTGTACATGGTTACAATTTGAGATGAGAAAGTATAAATGTTACTTTTTGCACTTTTATCCTGGAAGTCAGGGTCACAGCAGGCAGGCACTTACCACCACTAACGGGCTGTGAGTGTACAGTGGTCTGTTTTCCCCACTGGATAGCCAGCTGTCCATGTTAATTACAGGACTTAGTACATTTCTGGTGAAGAGACTTATTTTTGTGTCCGGCTTGTTCTCATTCCTCAGAATAAAGTGGCAGTCTCTTTCCATGCTTGATACTTAGCCAAAAGAGCCAAACATACCCATCACACATTTTACGAACACGTGTATTAAAGTCATTGTAGATGGAGCAACATCCTTGTTTCTCGCTCACTCTCTGAGACCCATCACTCTCATGATTTATTTGGAATTATAAAGCAAATGGTAAGCTCCTGGTGATCTAAGCAGAATGGTGTGTTAATAAATCTCAGCTCAGACCTAGGCATCCACTTGCTGCTCATAAACTCTTAATCATACACAGACTCTTAACCTCTATGATTATGTGCATAAAAATCTGTTGAGGACTTTGTTACCTCTCATGGCAAGTGATTCAATGTAATGGGTATTTCTCCTGAGTGAGACTTTGCATAAACTGAAGCTACTGGCTGTAGAAGCAATGTCTTTATAAGGCATCTTTCCCTGGTGGAAAGAGCTTCCGGAGGTAGTGAGTTGTCTTATAGAAGTGCTGAGTTTTTGTGATCGTGTGTTCTTAATTCAGTTTTGAGTTCGGGTATAAATCACCTTAGATTTTAATTAAAATCTGTCATCGTAAACCTGCTTTCCACCAAAGGAAACCTAACACTGTCTGTGTCACAAGTGAAATATGAAATAAAATTTACCCTGCCTAAACTACCAAAACTAGATTAAGAGCCTACCCCAAACTGTGCTAGCTGATAGGCACAGTAGAATGGTGCTCAGGATAGATAACGGTACTCCGAGCAGTGCCCATAGGCATGTAAGTTTAGTCATTTAAAATAAAGTATATATCTTCCTTTTTCATTCTTACATATGTGTGTGTTGCTCAAACTGCTTGATTCCAGTCCCTAAGTTTTACCCTAAGGAGGAGGGGAGTGCTCTTAGTTAAGAATCTAGTTATACTAGTTAATAAATTAACTTCTGTTATCTTTCTATTGTATGTTACATAGTTGGTACTGAAACTATTTACAAGTGATGATTTAAGTGTTTGAGAAAAGTGATAAATTTTCCTTAAATTCTCCATTTCTGATTTAGTTTGGCTTTGAGTATACACTTATAGGGTTCCCCAAAGCCTCATCATTCAATAAGCTGTCTTACTGAAGAATGAAACTTCAAGCTGCTCAACACTGAAAATAGACCAGTACTTTCTTTTACTGCACTTAAAGTATGGAAAGATTTAACACATGGCATCAAAAGTCAGACATGTACTATCATCAGGGGGCCCTGTGATCTTTCTGTAAAACTAGTGCCCTGTCTTTTTTAAATTCGATCAGTATATTGCAGGAACATTCATTCTTTTGTTAATGGGTATTTTTTACCTTACAAAATATTGGGTTGTCGGAGAAGTCATGACATTTTCTGTATTTTCTTAATGTTTTCTATGAAAACAGAAAAAATGCATCATTACTTTTCTGACAACCCAGTATCTTCTCATCTGTTACGTGCTCCATACAGCAACTCACATTCAAAGGATTTTCCCCCCTTTATCTGCAGTTAATGCCATCACATTTTTTCAGCTTAAAGAAACTAAATTGCATTAAGAACTTAGAGACCCTGGTGGCTTAGAGCTTAAGTCTCAGCACTGTCACTGCCACAGCCTGAGTTCAGTCCCTGGCCAGGGAGCTAACCCATATATGGCACAGCAGATCTCTCCTGCCATGCCCACTGCTCTCCTTAGCAGTGTTTTTCAGTGAATCTTCCTATTCTGCTCCCCACTCAGTCTCTGGTGAATTCTCTCACCCTCTGCACCTTTGGCCTACACCGCAGTTCTGTAAATAAATAAATAAATCTTTTAAAAAAAAATCTAGAGACTAATCAAACTGCTTGATTTCAGTCACTATGTTTTGCATGTGCAGTTCAACATTCTAATAGATGGATAGCTCCAAATTCAATATAGTCGTAATCTAATACTTTTTAAACAACTTTATTATATTGGCATAAAGTATACTGCATATACTTAAAGTGCTCATCTGATGAGTTTTGACATGTATGCACATCAGTGAATCCATCTCTGCAATTAAGGTAAATAAACATCATTCCCATCCCCCTTACTAGGCAGCCACTGATCTAGTGTCTAACTCTAGATTAGTTTGCATTTTCTTGAATTTTATATTAATGGGGGGCAAACAGTACTAATAACTTAAGGTAGTTGAGTTTGCTAAAAAAAAAAAACCTAAAATACTTCTTTTCAAAGTGGTGATGTTTTATTGTTTGAAACAAACTGGTCTATAACGGGATAGAAATTCGTTGATATAGCTTCTTAATGTTTAAAGCCCAATGTTTAATAAAAATAGCAATAGCTAATATTTATTAAAAGCTAACTATATGCCAGACACTTATTGGAAGCTCTTAACTAAGATTTATGTGCTCATTTAAACCAAATGACAATTCTGGGAGACAGAAGCCATTGTTGTCCCCATTTTACAGGTGAGTGACTTGAAGCACAGCTAAGTTACTTGCTGAAGGTCACACAGCAAGGGAGTGGTAGAGTTAGGATCCAAACCCAGACAGTGTGACTTCAGAACCAGCACTATCCCTCAGCTACCTGAGCCCTTGAGAAGTCTCAGTACCACGAACAGTGAAGCGTTAACGTTACACACTGGGTTCTGCAGTCCAGGAGCCAGGGCCCAAGTTGAATGGCATTTTCTTTCAATTTGAAACTAAGATTGCTAATTACCAGAGCTTTAGCTCAAAACTGAATGTCTTTATACTGCTGCAATTTTACCTTTGCAATCAGTTGATTTATTTCTTCTTTGCTTGGTTTATCTTTCAATTGATTCCCTAGGCCACACATTTTCATCAGAAGGTCTTTTTTTTTTTTTTTTTTTTTAAGTTTTATTTATTTTTATACAAGAACTAGGGTACAGGCCAGAGGTGCAGGGGGTGAGAAGAGTCACCAGAGACAGAGTGGGGAACAACAGGCAGGCGGACTGAAGTACACTGCTGAGGGGAGCAGCGGGCGAGACAGGAGAGGTCTGCCCCACCATGTGGGCATCTCCCTGGCCGGCTGGGAATCGAACCGGCGCTGCAGAGGCTGCAGACAGCTTCACAGTGCTGCGCTCAACCCGCTGCGCCACTGGGGAGGCTCCAGAAGGTCTTTTTTGGACTTAATATAAGTTTTTATTTTCTAGATGATCCAGACCCTGATGATGGATTTAACTATAAACAAATGATGGTTAGAGATGAGCGGAGATTTAAAATGGCAGACAAGGATGGAGACCTGATTGCCACAAAGGAGGAGTTCACAGCCTTCCTGCACCCTGAGGAGTATGACTACATGAAAGATATAGTAGTACAGGTAGGTGAGAGCAAGGTTTCTCAGTGGAAGTTCAGTTTCTCTTACTGTGCTTGCTGTCTTTCCTCGTTTAGCCTTCCTCTGTATTTAGAAGAGTGCAGGTGCTGGCCAGATGCAGAGTCTAAGCTCTCACTCTATTTTTTCTGTGACCTTGATCAAGTCATTTATCTTAGATGCCTTAGACTTTTTATTGAGTATAATAGTACTTATCATAAGATAATTTATTTTACCATTTTGCTGGTAGCTTCACATTGTAAGTATGAAGGAAAATCTTGTTTTTTTAAATCCCATCACCAGTGACCATATACGAGTAATAACAGTGGTATTGAAGAATTTTTATGGAAGACAGTTTCCTGAGAACATAGCCCATAGCTGTAGACATACTCACTGGGCACACCTCCTGTGAGTATCACGTCAGCTGGTGGGGTAGTTCATTAGTAAGCAGTGTCAGTGTCCTTCATGGAAGACCATAGTTATTTTAGGTTGAAGTATTAAAAAATTGATAGTATTTTACCATTTATTAGTTAGAAATTTTCCTACAGTTAAATCATACATACACATGCAAGCATGTATGTGTGTTTAATGAGTAAGTAAAATTACCTAAACCTTATTCAGAGACCAAAATAGTCTTGGCTTATTTTCTGTCTAGGAAACAATGGAGGATATAGATAAGAATGCTGATGGCTTCATTGATCTAGAAGAGTATATCGGTAAGTCTCTAGTGTTTTCCTTAGAAACAGCTGATAAATGGGAATTCTTAAGATTATTTTCTATTTTGTATATGTTTGAAAGTTTTCATAATAAAACGAGTAATATATAAGAAGAGTGCTTTTTATGATATGTAGACTATAATAGGAATTCAGTAAATGTTAGCTGCTACTTTTGCATTTAATAATAGTTAAAATGAAAGTGGCTATTTAGTACTATATTTTTTTAAATGGTAATATTTTGCTTTTAACAACATGACCATTACTGCTTGCATTTGTTTTTTGTTTAATGTTATAGAGATGTATAATAACAAGTATTGTTTTGAAATAGTTCTCTAACAATGGGAAATTTTACAATATTCCTGTTTCTTCTTAAATTCATTTTCAATCTACTTCCCCCACAGAATATGTCCCACTATATTTTATCTTGAAAGCCTTCAATCACCCCAACACTGTCTTTGCAAGAAAATTACGCATATAAATTTAAATATGAGAATAATTGTTATCTGTGACAGTTATGGTATTAATACACACTTGAACAAAGTAACATACATTTTATATTTGTACTGTTACAAAAATATATGTCTTTAATACGTTCTTTTCTCAAGTAGTTTTGATATCCACAGATGGCAAATACTGCTACAGAGAAGCATGTTTCAGTATCAATTTCCATTTTTTTTTTTTTTAGAGGAATGCTAAGAGACCTTATTTACTTATATAAAAAAGCTGATCATAGAATGGAAGGTTTGTAATAACAGTGTCACTCAATTCTTAGCACTCCTCTTAAATTATCTACCAAAAATCACTGTGGTCTATCATCAAAAATTATTTTCAGTGATCTCTTAGAAGAAGCTCGGTTAGACCCTGCTTCAATTTTTTCTTCTAAGCAAAGAATTAGAACCCTCTTCACATGCAAAAGAATCTGAACCCATGTTACAGGTTTTCAGATATATACTTTCTCACATCTGAGATTAATAATTGTCCCTTTTTCTTCATCTTGGAGCTTTTTACAGCTTACTAGTTTTAAGAGGGATGAAAATATGCCATTTTACAAAGTGGAAGAGAGGTGACTCGATTGTGAAAGGGAAGGCAGAAGGCGCGTTCTTAGGCAGATCACTTATTCAGGAGAATTGTCTGTGGAAGTCAAGGATCTAGAATTTGATTCTTGTAACTGTCCTCTCCCTATGCACTCTGACAGTGTTTTGTCTCCCGGTGTACCCCAATTGAAGGTCACTGGTATAATGCACTTTCCATAGTAATTAAGTGGTAGGCAGTTTTGGCTCATAGCATAACACTTCACACATTTCCTTGAGAATTTAAAATAGCACCTTTCTAAAAGCCAATGGTCGGGTTTAACTAGCTCCTTTGAAGTGAAATGGACTATAGGAAACAGTGCTTGCAAAAGTTAGTCTTTACCTTTCTTGATGTCAGTCATCTCCCTTTATTTCTGCATAGTTTTTAAGGGGTAAAGACCCTCTTTCCTCTCATATCACTCAAAAGTCAACATCTGGAAATAGTCTTGCTGCGTGATCAATCATAAAGCCTCAAGCAAATGCCTTGTTCTCTAAGGACTGTGGCCGAAAATGCCCCTGTAACCACTTGTAGGTTCCAAACAGATGAATGAGGAGGATGGGTGTGAGGCCAGATTCACCTTAGTCTTTGGGAAAAGACAAGCCTATCTTATGTATCCATGTCTGCACACAGGTGACATGTATAGCCATGATGGCAATGCCGATGAGCCAGAATGGGTAAAAACAGAACGGGAACAGTTTGTTGAATTTCGAGATAAGAACCGTGATGGAAAGATGGACAAGGAAGAAACCAAAGACTGGATTCTCCCCTCAGACTATGATCATGCAGAAGCAGAAGCCCGACACCTAGTCTATGAATCAGACCAAAACAAGGTAAGCTGGGCCCAAACAATTTTATACGGGTCAATTTGAACTTCTAGGGGGTTACCTTAAAAATTCCTATTCTAGAGCATTTAAGGTGTTAATTATAAATCTGAGTCTGTGATGGTTCTGAAGTTGGCTACTGAAAACTTACAGAGCAGTGCTGCCCGTCTCATCTCATTTTAAAAATCCCTTAGCTGAGTGTTCATGGCGTCAGAGAATTAGGCTTCAGAAAAGATCCTCTGAGCAGCTTGTGCCTGGCATGCATCATTTGTTAACTTTGGATCACCTGGAAATTTTCTTTGCTTTTTTTTCTTTTGTTACTTCCTTTGTACTTTTACCTATTACAGGCTTATTTTTGCCTACTAAAAGCTTCTTAAATCAAATATGCTTTTCTAAAATTAAGTCCTTTGTAGTGGATAATAAATCAGCATTTCTCTGGAGCCTATTAAAATTGTCCTTGATCAATTATCTGAAGTCTGTTCATTAAAAGAATGGCACTATCACCTTTTTCAGTGATATGAATGTTCTGCTTAAGACTAAGCTGAAAATAAAGCTAAAAGATACAGATTATCAGTATTCTGAACATTCTTTTAATCTTCACTTTCCAGTGCAATTAGGTTTTTGTTTGTTTGTTTGTTTGTTTGTTTGTTTTTTGGTCATCTGGCCCTTTTAGGGGTCAGTCTGAGTTCTTGCTCAGTCACTTCCGTGGCCAAGTGCTATGTCCTGATATTGTGAGAAAAGGAAACTCATGTAGTCATCCCTCTGGAATCTGACCTAAATAATTTTGGGGGTTGTGTCTGGATCTGACTGGTGGCTTGGGACATAGTGGAGGTGAGGGCTATGCTTGATATTAGCAGATACTGTTTTTCCTATTGAGCAGTGACTTAATTCACTTGAAGTATTTGCTCAGTTCTTGGCTATGTCTTAACCATATCTTGGAGGTGTCCGATATTTTGCGAAAAGAGGCATTTTTTTCCTTCAAAAACAAACCCGTGTCTCTCGCATTGAGCTATGTTATTTCTATCGTCCTCCTACTTATAACTTGCTTGATAAGGAAAATGTATTGCTATTTTCCTCCCTCTGTGTGTGTAAATGGGTGATAAAAATTGACTTCAGCTTTAATCTAGTGGGGATTAAAATCCTAAATCTTAACTGGTCCCTGTTGTTCTATAGCAGTATTTGTAAACTTGGAATAGGAAATATATTCTGCATCAGTTCACTCTTTTCTCTCATTTCAGGATGGCAAGCTTACCAAGGAGGAGATTGTCGACAAGTATGATTTATTTGTGGGCAGTCAGGCCACAGATTTTGGTGAGGCCTTAGTACGACATGATGAATTCTGAGCTGTAGGCAGAAGAAAACCACATTTCTTCGAAAGTAATTTATTTTTACAGCTTCTGGTTTCACATGAAATTTGTTTGCGCTACTGAGACTTATTACAAACTTTTTAAGACATGAAAAGGCGTAACGAAAACCATCCGTCCTGCTCCTCCTCCTCTCTGAGGGCCTGGAGGAAAATCGAGCTTCTGAGGAACAACTCTCGTTAGTACACTTGTGTTTGTAGATTTACACTTTGTATTATGTATAACATGCTGTGTTTATTTTTGTATTTGTTCTCTGGTTGGGAGTATGATATGAAGGATCAAGATCCTCAGTCCACACTTGTAGGCAGACATTATCCCTTCACTCTTTCTCATTCAACCCTTACCATATAATTTTTATAACTGACTAACTTTTTAAACCTGAGCTCAACAAGTGATGCTCAGGAAGGAGAAATGGGAAGAATATACACCACAATTTAGAGAGAGAACAGTTAATCTTGCCTCTTGAAAGTTATATTCCACAAGTCGTAGGGGGCCACGTATTCCAGCATGTTCCATTCATTTGCTACGGGTTCAGCAACTGATCCCGGCATTATCTGGGCAATGACAGATTCCTGTGCTGTAAGAAACTTAACTCAGTTTGATTTCATTCATCCTTTTCCCCCTGTCCTGCAGGACTAGCTGTTTGCTAATTTTGTCAAGCACAGCTGTGTTGGGAAGAGGTGGGGCCAGTGTCTTGAAAATCAATCAAGTAGTGAGGGTGATCTCTTTACTGAGCTATACATAGAAGCAGCTGGAAAACTAAAGGAAAAATAGGAGTGTTTTCAGGGCACACACTTTTTTCTGGCATCTGTTGAAGTGCTCAAGACTGTCTTGCCTGTTGAGTCACTGGAAGTGCCCCATCCAGCTCCTATTTCTCCCAGAGGCTCCGGGGAATATTTTTGCTTTTGCTGCAGTTAAAATATATCATTTCTAATCATGTCATTGAAAGTGCCTTTAGCAAGAGAGATGATCACTGAATGGGATTCTCTTAAGAAACCCTAAGAGAAAATAGAGATAACTTGGATCACCTTATATCAGCACTTAGACCTTCCCAGTGTGGTGGGGGTTTTCCTTCCCTTTCTCTTTCAGACAGTGGTTAAAGAGCAGTATTAGTCAGGAGCTTGGTCGCAGTGTTCTTATCTTGTGGGCTGGTATCCAAAAACCACATGCTGCTGAATTTACCAGGAATCCTCATACCTCAGAATGCTAACCACTTGCTACCAGGCCTGTTTCTGTGTCAGTTAAAGAGCTTGGGCGCAGACTGAAAGACGAGTGGGTCTACAGAGAGGGCGCTTTGGTTTGAGGACCATTGCTTACCATTCCTGCTTCCCCCCTCATTCTTCTTCACTGCCCCCCACCCCCAAGAAATGTTTATCATGGATGAATAAATTGCCAATTCTTAACAAAGAGAGGGAAGGACATTGTGGAAAGAGCTAAAGTAACCTCCCTCTGTTCCCAGCTCCTCTTTACCCATATTTTAAATAACACACATGTCTTTTTGGTCCCTTTCTTACAGCTTGCCCTCTTCTGACAAGAATTATTGTATTCCAAGTTTTTAGCCCTCAGGTTATTAAGATAAATATATGTATATCTAACCTTTATTATTTCATATATCTTTCTGGATAATACATTCAGGTGGTGCTGGGTGATTATTATAATCTGCATCTAGGTATACCCTTTGGTCTTCCGCAGTCATGTTGAGGTGGGCTACTCAACCTGGTAAAAAGCCAGATATCATGAACCTTCACCCTGGCCTTGCATTGAGCTCTTGAGAGTGGAGACACTTTTTTAAGTTTAACCCCAGTATAGGGTGATGGAACTTCTCTGACCTCCACATGGTTGTTGTTGTTAAGAGCAGAGATGATTAACTTGGCACCAGCTCTGACTTAGAAAGGGTAGATCATGACTGTGATAAGAGCCTCGTGGCTCACTAAGTGCAGAGAAACCAGGCCTATGTGAAACACACTGTTAGAGCATGAAGCTTCCTCTGTTAAGACAGCAGTCTCTGGATGCTGGTTGCTCAGCAGCAGCATTGTGCTCTGATCTAATGGTCCCCCTGGGTAATTTTTTTTGGTTTAAATCAAGCTCGAGGCTGGTGAACAGTAGTTACACACCCCCCAGTGTGTTCTGTGACTGCTAGCTCTCTTGAATTTGGATATTGGTTATTTTTTATAGAGTGTAAACCAAGTTTTATATTCTATAATGCAAACAGGTACATATCTGTTTCTAAATAAAACTGTTTACATTCGTTGTAGAGTATTATGTCATTTATTCTCTAAAGAAATGGATCTCTTGATTAGAATTTCAGTTGCTATAAATGTCATAGGAAAGGAACTCTCTAGAAGATTTACCATACCCCTTCTCCAACCCTGAGAAGTCACTGCCTTCTTCCACATTGGCTACACCTTCCTGTGTCTGAAGTCCAGCATCCTTCTCAGCTCTGTACCCCCTCCTCCCTCCCGGTTCTCTTGGACCCACAACTGGAGAGAATCCTGGTGCGCACCGCACAATTACCTCGCAGCCAACAGAAGCCATTCCTGAAAGTATATACACCATTTGTCTCGATTTTTATTTCAAAAAGTTCTTTTTTCAGGTGGTGGTGCTGGGGAATAAGTATAAGACAGGTTTGTTTTTTTTTTTTTAACATTTTGGTCTACTGTATAAATGGTATTAAGGTGTACAAGTTCATTTTGAAAACATGAAAGGAATTTATTAACTTTAATAAATATGATGCTTAAGACAGATAACTGGGTTTAGCCAAATAGGAGGGGATTGCAGGAGGAAACACCTGGAACAGTTCATCCTGTGTCAGGGGCTTATGGGTCTGGCTGTCCTTGCCAAAGCTATAGTGACTGGGCAGAGAGCATCAAGGTTTTTCAAATACGTGTATGGATCTTACTAAGAGTTTTGTTTTTTCTTTAGGTCTCTTTAATTTTTTTTTTTTTAAGGTTTATTTATGCACACAAGAGCTGGGGTACAGGCCAGAAGTGTGGGGGGTAGGGTGAGAGGATTCACCAGAGACAGAGCAGGAAACAGAACAGGCAGATTGGCTGAAATACACTGCTGAGGGGAGCAGCGGGCGAGACAGGAGAGGTCTGCTGCGCCATGTGGGATTCTTGCCGGCTGTCGGATCGAACCCGCACTGCAGAGTCTGCGGACAGCTCCATAGGATGTGTCTAAAGTGTTCTTATGTTCTAGTTTAGAATGTGTCATCTCAGAACAGATTCCCAGTAGTTAAAAAAAAAAAAATTACTAAAAAGAAAAATTATTAACCATTAACTAAAAATCACCATACTCCTTTACAGCCTTTATGTAGACATCGTTTCGAGTGCTGTGAATGGTACCACTTGGGAATAGAAATGGCAGGTTGTTGAAGGGGCCTTTGGGAAAGTCTGAAGAAGACCCAACTGGGACGGTAGCTTTGTAGGTAGGAAGGGAATAGCAGGAGAATTGGCTCCCAAAATTGCCATCATTCCTTTTTCCATCTTTTTTCTATGATGTTAGTTGTTTGGCTTTTGCCCGAGAAAGTAGAAAGAGCCTTCAGTGTAAAATCCTAATTGCTGTGAAAGGGCTCCTTAGGTGGGGCCAACTTGGCTAGAAGAGACAGCCGAAACTTCCGTTCTCTGGGAGCTGGACATGTCCGACTCATCTGCCATGGACTTCCCACACACCATCTCCATGATGCAAGCGCGGAACTGGAGAGGAAAGGCAGGATGGAAGAGAGCCCCCTTGGCAGGCTGGCACAGAGGAGGTTATGAGGAGGGAGCACGGGAAGAAAGAGCTCATTTATCCCCAACGCCTTGCACAATGCTCAGTACCCAGTATCTCAGGTGATTTTGAGTACGTCTCCCCAGTCCTGAGCGCTCACTAGATCTATGTCTACTTGCTGTGCTCCTGCAGGAATTCTGGCTAATTTTGAGGCCTTGCCATTGGGACCCTCACAAGCCAGCCGCCTCACCAAGCTCACTGTCAGAAGCAGCCCCAGAGTCCACCCACACGCCCCACATTCACAGTCAGGTGCTCCCAACTGGGAAGGGACTTCTAATTCTGTTTCCATACAGGTTTCACATTCATTTTGAGTATTGTCATGGAAATCTATCCGGGCTTGAAGAAATAAAGTATTCTTAAGGTAGGCATCTTGCCCTCCAGGACAGGAACTCTGCTAGATTCATCATGAGTTTGGGATTGCTTTAGCTTCGATTCAGGAATTGGGGTGAGGTCACCTGATACCTTCAGATGATGAGCTGTTTTAGAGATTGATGCATGTGCTGTGAATCCTGTGCTTCCCATACACTCCTGCAGACTAGCAGTTGGAGGGGCAAGGATTGATCCATGAAATGGAAGGACTAAAAATTTAAGAGAACTCTTCATCTTTTGTTTTTCCACAAACCTGAAAACTTTTACACTCCTCATCCTGCAACTCAGTTTTTAAGTCTTTTAAGTTTTGTCTTCCCTGGGTTCTAGTGTCTTGACCCCGCCTTCCTCCCTGTTGCTCCTCCCAGCGGCTTCCCTTGTTGCCCCTAGAAGCCCTGAGAGAAGTCCAAAGTGCTCTCTAGGTCAAGTCATTGGTGAGGAAGGAGCCACGTCTTACGGACTAGGGTCTCAGTCTGTGAGTGGAGAGCTTTCTTTACCTGCTTGTTCATGAAGCAGTAGATGACAGGATTGTAGACACAGGCACTCTTGGAGAAGAAGGCAGGGATGGTGACAAGCCGTAAGTCCAGCCCATGGTTACGGTTGTTGACCATGTACATGGCCAGGGCAGCATAGGGCACATAACAGAGACAAAAGGATCCCACCATCACCACCACCATGCGGCTCACCTCCCGCTCAGCCTTCTGGGTTGAAGCTGACTCTTGCTGCTGAGCTGCAACCTGAGCAGGATACAGAGAAAATAAGTCTTTTCTCCCAGGCTCTCGACTCTCAGATCTCTGCACCCTCTTCCATGCACGAGATCACCCCTTCGATGGTCTCTCCTGTCCCAGGGTCTAGCCTGGTCCCTCTGGCTCTCCCTTGGGGAAGGCAAGATGGAAGTGATTCTGGTCTATGACGTTGGTCATGTCCTTCCCTATTTGATCAGTGATGACTCCACGTTACTATTCCATTTCATTCTCCCTGCTCCGGCTTCACTGCTTTTAGATAAGCCCTCTGCCCTGACCAGATGTGCTCTCGGCCACTTGCTCTTCCCTCTCACAGGGAGCTCCCAGACCCCTCGCCCCTCACCCTTGCAAAAGCCACTCACAGCTCTGAGGGCCCCCAGCAGCTGAGAGTAGGAGAAGCAGATGAGGGAGAGAGGCACAATGAAGCAGAAGACGAAGAGGAACCAGGTGTAGTACTCGCTGCGATATTTGGTGCCCACGGTGTACCAGTCCGGACCACACGAACACTGCAGGCCCTCGGGGATGAACCTGGAAGAGACCCAGCTCGCAGCTACCAGGCGGGCGCTCGTCCCTGCGGGCTCTGCAAGCGCTGGAGTGGGAGCTGCGAGTCCTGGTTTCTCCGCTTGGAACCCAGAAGGCCCAGAGACTCAGGCCAGGGGGTGGGGGTCTTCTGCCCTTGCCAGCTGAGGTTATTACAGTTCCTATTTGCAAAATAAACTTGTAGCATGTGCCTCCCACAGCCCCTTCCCTCACCTGCCACACCAGCTCTTTAAAAAAACAGGTCAAAGCGGGCAGTGCTACACCCAGCTCCCCGCCCACACCCACCTGGGCGCCTAGCTAGGTCAGCACCCTGCCCTGGACTCTCACCGGCTCCAGCCAAAGAAGGGTGGGATGGAGACGCCGATACCAATGACCCAGGTGGCCAGGACCACCATCAGCGCGTGCCTGGAGCTGAAGCGGAAGTTGCCGAAGGGCTTGCAGATGACAATGTAGCGCTCAAAGGCCAGGAAGGCCAGTGACCAGCCTGTCACCAGACCTGTGGTGAAACGTGAGGGTTAGG